AATCAAACAAGCTTTCTGAGGCGGGGACAATGGCTGCCTCGAATCTACGATCTGTATCTGGGATATACTCAGTGCATCAGGCTGAGTTGAGTTGATTCAAGAACTGACATCACAGCACCTGGGGCATTCCCATAAGTGCTCCGTCTTCATCTTCAGTAGCCAGCGCAGAGTTCCAATAATGACACCAGCAGAAGTCTGATTCTATGTCCATCTTGCTTTTCTTCTCAGCATCGAGTAGCAGCCAGACCCCCTCGTTACTCCTTGCTGCATCACTCTTAGCAAACTGTGATGATCCATGATACAGTTCTTGCTAGTGAAAGCAAAGGGATGCTGTGCTTACCAAAATCATTTTGAAAATACATATCGAACTTATGTTAATTATACATAACTATTCTTGAACCAGCAATGAGAGCAGAATGTCAACAGTGCGATAATCTTTAACTGCCTCAGCCTGACTGTTCTTCTGTTAGGTTAACTAGAATGTGTCATTATCAATAATATGTATACAAGATGTGTGTCTGCACTATGTGTGTGTATGCCAGCATGTTTGCCTGGCACTAGACATATGTAGACACTCATACTTACACACAGAAAAAGAGATAAAGACTGAGAGCAGGACGGAGCAGAGAGAGTCACAGAGGATGGGAGCAGCAAAAGACAGATACACATAGAGACAGACAGACAGACACACACACAGACAGACACACATGCCTGCATGCACACACACACACACAGAGAGAGAGAGAGAGAGAGAGAGAGAGAGAGAGAGAGAGAGAGAGAGAGAGAGAGAGAGAGAGAGAGAGAGAGAGAGAGAGAGAGAGAGAGAGAGAGAGAGAGAGAGAGATGTGGTCATCAAAGAGAGCAGCGGTTTTCAACCTGGGGCACAAAGAAGTTTCAAGGGGGACATCAAGCAATTTTGATATTATACTTAAATTTTCTCTTTCCAGTTTCATTATAAATAAAACATGAACTGCAATTCCAGTGACATACTTTTGGTGTTAGCACTTCTGGCAGCTGCCTTATGCATATGATGCATGTGCAAATTGCTGCATTTTGCAAGGACTGCCGTCCGTTTGACTTTTCACATGGCACAGTGATGGGCATTTGGTGTGGTTTCAACTGGCTCAGGAACAGAGCAATTTTAATGTGATCTGTTTGCAATGAAATCTGAACCCTGACTGATAAACTAATAACCTTTTCAAACTGATGCAAAAGGACAAGTCCTTGCAACAAAGTCCAACTACTTATGTCATCTACAGTATGAAAGATCTTTCACCTGAAATACTGCATACTGGCATTACACTTAAATGAGTTGAATGGTTTATCCAAACGCTTTTTTATAACTCTTGCAGAAACTATGATAGAAGGACCATAAAAAAATAGAGTAGAATAAGGTGAAAAGGAAGGAAGGAGGAAAGTGTATTTTGGTCTGGGTGGTAGAGGAGCAATTGTAGAAATGGGAAATAAGGAAGGAAGGAAAGAAGGATGGATGGATAGAAGGAAGGAAGGAAGGAAGGAATGAAGATACTTTGAGAGCTAAGGATATAGTCAAAGAAAGAAGAATGAGTACAATTGATGAAGTAAAGTAGGAAAAAAAAAACAGAGAATGGAGAAAAAGGAATGAAAAGACAGAACACAAAGAAAAAAAAAGAGGAGAAAGTAAGAAGATAGAACATGAAGAAAGGAGTGACATAAGATAAAGGAAACACAGCCAGAGCCAAGAATAAACTGCACCAGGTCTACAAGAATAAACCTGTGCTGTGTCAACTGTACTGCATGCCAATTCCTTCCAAGCATCTGATATTCACATACATATCCCCGGTATCAATGTTATCTGCACTAGCTGACACATAAAATGCTGCTTATCTGTGGCTCTATTGGTTGAGCAATTAAAACAGCATGCTAAATTTGTCGGAGCCAGAAAGGTAATAGCGGTGAAAATAGCAGCTTTATGAAACGACCCCTTGAATGATGCAAAAGATAAGAAGAAGGGTAAGGGAACTGTAGCAAGAGTGCACATTCTTATGTAGAATATAGGGAAACATGTTATAAATTTGAAGATAAAAATCACTATCAGATTAAGTGACAATAAAAACCAAAGATACTCTGTCATTATGTATACGCCAATTGTTCCCAGAAGGATTCACACGTAATGCTTTGTTGATTATGGAAAACTGCTAAGTGCCACTACTGCATTTATTTACCACTTTTGTGGTGTAGGCAAGGGGGTCTGAGCCTTAGGATTTAGGGCCCCATGGCTAGTGCTGTAGCCACGAACTATGCAGGTTAGGATTATATTTCTGCCCCTGACACACACACACAAATCTCCAAGGATCTGAACCCAGCTCTCCTGCACAAGAGCCCAGTATTTTTAACCATTGGCCAGCCACTCCTTGTTGATTAAGGAAGCTCTTTGACATTTCTGTTATAAATGCAGTGGAAAATATAAGGAATATTCACAGGTTTATTACACCTGTGCTCTGTGTGTTCGGAGATTTAAAGTGACGAAGATCACTTCAATACACCAGACTTTAACCCCACACAGCCTTTGTTTTAATTAATTTTTTAACAGAATAAGCCACATACTGACAGCATTACACAAAGCACAAACTCTGTAGCTCCATCAATCCCCAGGAATCTCTGTAACAATATCACTCATAACTGAACAATGCAGTCCATTAAATAAACCTATGACCATCAGAGTAGAAAACAACTGGCTTAACCACTTAACTCTAGTGTGTGTTCAACTAATGAAGACAGTGGCGGGAAATGTCCACTTATTGCTACTTTTAGATGGCTTCATCAGAATACTGTAGGTAATTCACCTTATAATTATCAACATACACTCTACAAACTTCACTGTATGCTCACGGTTTAATGAAAACATATCTAGAGACAGTACATATATTTGTCTGCCAGCCTTCTTTTATGCTTTGAAATATTCCTAAGTGGCTGGGAAGTAAAGGTGGCCAGCAGGATGCTGACAACATCATCCGTCAAAGGCCGATTGGTCTATAAAAGTGAGCCTAGCATCATATGCCCAAGGCGTCACTGGGGTGAAAAGGTCTTTTACTTTACTGACATCATGCATGATTTACATGTTTCTCAAAACGGGTGTCGAATCCACACTGGCAGATGACTTTGTCGCCGGTCGGGACAGTTTTTGGGTCTGTCTCCTTTGATGCATTACACTGCAGAAGTCCTTTTCAGGGCTACCTAAGCCATTTTACATTTTATATAGTGCACATAACCTAGTCACAAATATAACCTAAAGCTATCCCTTCAGGAATGCTGGTTGAATGTGACCAAATCTTGTTCTCAAAAACTGATGATGATGATGATGAGAAGAGAGGTGAGGTTAGAAATGCAACAGACTTTACACTAAAATAGATATTTAAAGTATATCAATGTGCTTGCAATGGGAGATATCACAGAAAAGGCATGTGAATAATTATTCCAGAACGTTTGTGATCCTTGCAAGTTTATATCTACATAACGGTTTTCATCTCTTTCTGTTCTCAAGCAATTGTTACCTCAAACCCTTCTACTGCAAGAAGCTGAGATTAAAAAACAACAAATCCTTATATATATAAAGAACTTTAAGAGAGGCAAGATTGATCAGCATATTAATCTGATAAGGGTTAAGGGATCACTATGCCTTTGTCTTCCTGGGGGCCTCATGGAAAGCAAATAATAATTCCAGTGCACCCTGCCAGGCATGTCATAAGAGGCAACTGAGGATAGGGTTGAGTTTGAGGTGGGCTCCTCATCCTGTTAAAAGCCACAACAAAATAAACAACCATGAGAAAGTCATCCCCCTCCTCCCCCTCTTCCCCCAAAAGAAATTTTAAGTAAGAAGTAATACTCAGCCAACCAAGATGCGAACTCATTTCCCATTCTTCTATTATAGTGGTTTTCAAACTTCCTAATGCTGCAACCTTGTAATACAGTTCTTTATGTTGTGGTGACCCCCCAAACAATAAAATTGTTTTCGTTGCTACTTCATAACTTCAGTAAATATGTATTTTTTGATGGTCTTAGTCAATCCCTGTAAAAAAAAGTCGTTCGACCCCCTAACGAGTTGCGACCAACAGGTTGAGAACAGCTGTTCTAATAAAAGAATGATGACAAGATGCAGATAAAGCCGAGAGGTGTCCGAACTGCTGAGTATATCCTTTCATTAGAAAAATCTCCAGAAGTGATACCTCAAATATCAAGACTAAGGGAACTAGAAAGTGAAGCTAAAAAGATGTGGAGGCCATGTGGTAGCATAGAGCAATAGACAGAATCACTTAGCATACAAAATAACATCTTGTAAGGAGTCGGCAGTCCGAAACCCAAGTTTAAGGTGTCTCCTTCGTGCTAAAGAACTGCATGGTTGTTGGGTGAACAGTCGTTAACGAAGGCAGGCAGGTCGTTGTAGGGTAAATGCCTGCTGATGGATGTAATGTCCTAAGTCCCTTCCCCAGCTAATAATGAGGGTACTGTTGGGGTGACCATTTGTTTATTAACCCTCATATAATGCTTCAGGTGAAAATGGACGCTAGGCACGGCCACCTTTTTTTTTTTTCCTGTCAGACGGTGGCCGTTGCATTTTTGCTCCATTTGTAGACTTGAGGGATATAGTTTCATCTCCCAGCTTCTGAGTTGAGTGTATGGCATGACACTGTGAGCTACATGTGTTTTTCGTTGGCACAGGAGCGGAGCAACTATGGGGTGACCCGTTTGCTATGAAGCTGAAACTAGGATTACCAGATTACCAGATTACTTAGCATAAGTTGGTTTCACTCAGGGGTTTAAAGGGCAGAAAATATGAAATGACCATGAACCACTGTGTATAACACTAACTCCCTCCTTAACTTTTACTTCTTGAGGTTTTATTCATGTTGTCTACTCTGTATATACAATACAAGCCTCGCATAATCCTAAAGAGCCCTCGAAGGTGTTTCAGAGAACCTCAGAGCTCACAAGATGAGAAACACTGGTCCACAGCCACTTACCCTGTTAGCCTGCATTCCACCTCCACTACTGCCACTGTCATTGGTGCCTGTGGTAGCATTAGAAGTTACTGATATCAGAGAGCCTCTCCTCTCTAAAGCTGTCAAACCTTCCACTCCTTCTCCTTCAAGTTCCCTAAAACACAAACAATAAAACACATACCAATCATGTCACTTGCAGGTATCAACAATACACATATACAGCAATGATAGTGTTTGTTGGCAGCTTTTTGCCTTCCCAGACAATAGTGTTCCACTGTGCTATAGGCAGACGTAGAAACCACCGCCCATGGTGATGGAGAGTGCGACTAGCAAGACCAGCTCACCTTAATAAGTGCATACAATGCTTGTTCACAAATAAAAACAGATAAATCACCCAAGAACCATTGAGCCCACTGAAACAGTATAATAAACAAACTCAAATATAATGATTTAAAAAAAAAAAAAGTAGAGACAGGAAGACACACTAGACAACATACAAATCAAAAGCTAGTTACCATTCCAGGGATCAAACCTGTCATAGTGATGCTGTCTCGCTGTAGGAACAAATGGACTTCATCACACAGCCAACTAGACAACTCTAAAAAGGTATCATTTGCTAATGTGTCTCTATTTCTTTATTGTACACAAAGGCTCAGCTGGATCGGTCGCAGTTGGAGAATGGAGCATAATTTGTTGTATATCTTTTACAGGATGTTCCAGAATCAACCCCAGCATTCTTTTGGCTGCTGTAGTTTTTCTAGGCAAATGTTACATTCAGTGGTTTGCCACTGCTTCCTGAATGGTCAGCTCTCAATACCACTGTTAAAACCAATGCAAGATGAATCTTCCACCAGGTGACTCAGAGGGATTCACAAGACAACATGGAAAGAGAACTGACCCACCAGTTAAACAGACTTGCTGAAAACAATCAGATTGTTCTCCAGTGGATTCCGGCACTTCAGGAAATGAGTAAGCAGACACACTTGTTAAAAATGGACCAAAGGAGAAACAACACACCCATCCATTGTTGTCACCAGAAATCAGAACACTTATCAAGGGAAAATACAAGGAATTGTGGAGAAAACAAACTAACAGTAGACATCCACAAGACTCCATCAGCAGACTCAACAGAAAGCAACATACAACAATTTTTCATCTACGAACAGGACACTGCAGGCTCTACTACCACATGCATAAAATAAAGATTGTACAGTCCTCACAGTGTGCCTGTTAAACAGGATAGAGCACAAAGACCTGAGCAAACTTTGCAGAGCTGCCCACTCTACATACAACTTCGAAAAGACACCTGGCCTCTAGAGCAAAGTTACTGACATGCGAGTTTATAGAGGCAACCAACGTGACTGTATGATCGGAGCATACGAAACCGAACCCAAAGAAGAAGAAGAAGAAATGGATGTGCTTGCAACACTCAGGTTCTGGAACAAGACTAAAGTCCAGAGGTGGACAAACAACCAGAACCTTCTGCCAAAGTTTATAGCTGATGAATATAAAGAGGAAGTCTCTTATCTGGAAAAATGTGAAGGTACTAGAAACAACAATAAAATCCACATCTGGTTTGCTGGACCTGTCAAAGTTTCATTCTCAAAGGAATTACTGAATTTGGCAGCACACAGAACTTTTGTTACTTTCTTCGATGGTATGAGCATCAATCATTTAGTAAGCAATGGCAAATAACTGAACGTAAGACTGCCAGAGACATATGGAGACAGCAAGAATGACTCTTGTCAGTAGGATCATTTTCATCTTAAGGGTCTATTTGGTATATCTTCTTTTCGTTATTTTCATTCATCATAGAGATGTAATTGCACTGTGCCTATCTACAGCAGAGTTGTGATATATAGGCCTTTCAGCTGACACATCTGAGCATTTGTTGATCGGGTTAACTTCTCGCATAGTTTCGAGAGACACAGCTGTAGCCTAATTTGTGTGGTGTCATCTTTGTCCCCTTCGAACTCGTTCAGGGCAAGCGCGCACAGACTGGTGGGCCCTTAAGAAAAGGCAGGGGCAGATCATGGGCAAGCCCCATCATGCAAGGAAATTTTCATAAATGCAGAGTTGACACATAATGCTTGGGCTCACCCAGGTAATTGTCACCTCCTGCTAGTCAACAGATTATCTTCACTGCAAACAGAACAACTGAGCCCATAAGTGCTTAGATTCCCCCCCCCCCCCCCCCCCAATAAATCCTTCAGCCTGCAGCAGCTGGTGACACCATTCTTATTATTCTTCTTTGGCTTTCTACAAGAGCATCATTTTGCCAGTTCTTCTTTATGGAGCGGAATGCTGGAGAATGACCAAAAAGGATGCACACAAGCTGTCCACCTTCCACCACACATGTTTACGTAGAATTATCAAAATTTTCTGGCCAGATACAATCTCAAACACTAAACTACTTCAAGCCACAAACCAAGAAACTTTAGACAGTATGATTACCAAGAGAAGATGGAAATGGCTTGGCCACGTTATGAGAATGACTTCTGATATACCTGCCAAAACAGCTCTCACATGGACACCAGAGGGAAAGAGAAAACAGGTGCCCAAAAACAACATGGAGACGAACGATGGAAAGCGACCTGAGTGCGGCATCTTTGACATGGAAAACTGCATTGAAGCATTGAAGATTGCACAGGACAGGAAAGCATGAGAAGTCCTCTCTGAAGCCTCATGTGCCACTAGGCATAACGAGAACTGATGATGATGATGATCATGGCTTTCTGCATAGTGCTCTTATCTGGCCACACACTTTTTCCTTGCAGTCTGGCCATGGTTGCAGATTCACAGTCACTTGGTTCCCGCAAACGTCTTATTTCTCATTATGCATTCAGTATACCAGCCAGGTCACCACTAATACCATAATCAAAATCTACGCAAAGCGGTCTGCCAGCAGAGTTGAATCAAATCTGGCATGCTAAAATTATGTAACTGTGCTTATACCTTCAAAGTCACAGACGCCGACAATCAGACTAAAATATTATCGCTAAATGGCAAAACTTACCGGCTAACACGACTGGTATTGAAGAACTTGGGCGGTGGTTTGAACATAGTTGCCTGTTTGTCTTTCAAGGCATCATTCAGATACAAGACTCTCTCCTGAATCAACTCCCTCATCCTCTTCACCCACTGCTGCTTGGTATCTAATGAAGATGCCTGAAAGATAATTACTTGGTTACTTTACATGTACTGTTGAAGATTCAAATTAATTGGTCCATTTCTGTAGGCTAATGAAGGCTACAGATGAAGGCTACAGAAACTAATGGCAATGACTAATGTGACGAGCCAGACCCGCTTGTATTCTCTAAACTCAAAGAGATGGACAAAGCTCCTCCTCTCCAATGTATAAAGTCGCAAATTATAGACATCACGTGTTGTCTATGAATCACAATTCCTCTTTTGACCTGCCTTGTTTACTCAAAAGGGAAGGTAATACCAATACTACTGGCTACATCACCTTTAACTGTGGTATAATAAGGGCAGTTAAAGACAGTTTTTTTCTTCTTAGTTCATATGAATTTACTTTTAAAAAAGGGTGTGTAACTACATAAAACTACTTTGCCCTTATGTGGGTTCTGGGGCCCAACTGTGTGGCCCGGGGTTGTCACATCTATTAACAAGCAGGTCATAAAAAGTGACTCATTAAGGGTTTGCTGGAATCAGATATGATGGCCCAAAAAAAGGTGCAAATACTGTAACCCACTTGTAAACCACAACACCCCAAAAAATTTATTAAGAGCAAACAGGGAAGAGGAGGAGAAAAAAAAAGTAGAAAAAAAAAAGAAGGAAGAGGGGAAAAAAAAGCAGGGAGGTAGATGCAGAGAAGAAGAATCGTGAAGAGAAGTAGAAGAAAGAAGAGAATGATGATGAGGAAGAAGATGAGTAGAAGGCTCAAGAAGAGGAGAAAGAAGATGAAGAGGAGGAGGAAGAAGAAGACTTTGAAAGTATTTATTACCTAAGTTATATTTTTACTCAAAACATAAATGAATACAAGGTTAACTATCTCATAAACACTAAATAGGAAATAACTGTCTGAAGTTTAATCAAGGACACATACCTTTAGAATGATTCTGTAATCAGAAATAGGAGCTCTTCCAGTCCACAAGGCAAATTTGGTCTCATCACCTTCTATATGTTCCGTGATGTTGATTTCTGAGATCTAATAACAGAAAGGGGGACAAAAATAACATTTTAACTGCCTGTAAACTTTGTGATGATTTCTAATATCCATAAAAGGGAAAAAGAACATCTTAACTTTCTTCAGTCCCCCAGAAACCTGAATGTGCATCATGAAAACTTAAGATAAGGAAGATTCCCCATCCTGATCAAAAACAGATAAAATAAATAGTACACTAGGGACCAGCTGGTAGGCAACAAATCTTAGACCTTATCAACCAATCCTGGTCCCAAAGACCACTTCCAAAGGAATGGAAAGAGGCAGAAATAGTCATCATAGCCAAGAAGGTAAAGCCCAAGTAGAACAAATTCAGTTACCACCCTATAAGCCTTCTAACCTTTAGCACCCCACAGTCGAGTATATTGGACTTCCGCCGCCCACCTCGTAGCGTCCCACAGTCGAGTATACTCGACATCTATATATGGTTGGGGAATACGAAGCCTAAACGGAGCTACGCGTGTGACGTCACTTGAAAACTGTAAATAACTATTCTAGAGTGGTTTCACTTCCTCTTTGTCTGTTTTGATTGCTAGGAGGCCGAGAGTAGGTTTGTGTGATCAATTTTTCTGAGCCAGTTCGATATCCATCACCATCCTTCGAAATGGAAGCCATTTATTCTGAAATCTTCATGGATTCTGACTCTGACGATGAGATTTTGGGTGTTACTGCAGCCGATATCAGTCGCGAAGTTGATATGTCTGGAGACGTAAGTGAAGGTAGTTCTGTTTCCAGTGTGTCAGATTCTTCGGATGAGGAAGACGAGGTGGTAAGTCGTCGTGCTCCCTCTGGTTACAACCATTCTTGGCTTCGCGACTTCTCTGAAGTTGTGGGACCTATAGGCCTACCTGATAATATTAGTGAGGTCGACATGTTTCAATGTGTGCAGAAATCATTTCTTTATTTCAGTTTAAATAATTATGCAAAACTATTCATAAACCAAAAAGTTATTGTGTTTTCCATGTTTCCTCCATTAAAAACGCGAAATGTGAAAAAATAAGGTGGGAAGCAAGGGAAATAATTTGAATTTTTATTGTGGGGTGCTAAAGGCTAAGCTGCCTTGGCAAAACCATGGAAAGATTAGTGAACAACAGGTTACTCAATTTCCTGGAAGAAAACAAGATATTGGATGACAGCAAATCAGGCTTTAGGAGACACGAAAGCACTGATGACAAAACCTCTTATCACGCACAAGAAATTGAAGATGATTTCCAGAAGAAAAAAAATAAACTGTTAGCAACTGACCAAAGATTTCAACATTATCTGGAAGAAAGGACTCTTGCTAAAACTAGCATACAGGGAGATAAAAGGGCACATGTTTGCCTGGATTGAAGATTTTCTTTACCAAAGCTGCACAAGAATCAGACTGAAAGGACTGAAAAGCAAGCTTTGGAAGTCACAATAAACCAGACCAAAACCATCTCGACTCTTCTCTCTTTCCACAAAGCTACAACAAATCCATCTGCACCTAGAAGACGACATACTTCCAAAAAAGTACAACCACACATATTTGGGAGTCAGATTTGATAAAAGACTAATTGGAGACCAAAACTGGAGTAATGCATGGGAGCATACTCCACCGTTTAGATTGCTACCATGCCATACTCCACTGCAGCCAAAATACAGAACACAGTTCTCAGAATCATCACTAGAGGTATGAGAAGCACACCAACCAATGAGTTGGAGGCAACTTCTGGTCTCCAGTGCTTGAGCCAATGAAGGGAAGAAAAGGTGCTTACCCTGATGAAAGCATGAACAACAATCTCTTGCGCAGAATAACTAACAACAACAACAAAACTGAAAAGACAAAGCTTCCACCATCTATCAAAATTGTTCTGCACCAAAAACAGTGACATCCTTTCTCAAGATCATTCAACGCTGGAAATGACCCAGGCACACAGCACAGACCTACAGCCTAACTATACAGTCACAACAACAATCTCAGGCATAGACAGAAAGGATGAAGAATGTGACCTAGTACTGCATGCAAAGTCCCTGAAACATGTCTACAATTCTTATTCAAAACCCGAATGGACACAAATATACACCAATGGATCGGCATCATGCTGCAAAATGGGACCACTGTCAAAACGTCATGTGTCTCCAGGAAACTCTCAACAAAATGCATAACAGAGCAGCAAGTAATTATTGATGCAGCCAAAGTGCTTGAGGAAAAAATAAAAAAGCAAAATTGTTTTTCTTTGTGACTGCATGTCAGTCCTCCAGGCAACTTAGAGGGATCCGCGAGACAATATGGAGAGAGAAATGATCTGCCAGCTAAACAAACTCAGAAAACAATGAAATTGTTTCCTCAGTGGATCCCGGCTCACTGCAGTATATACCAGGAAATGAGTTAGCTGACAGACTTGCAAAAAATGGAACAAATGAAAAACAACAAACCAATTCATTGTCATTACCAGAAATCAAAACACTTATCAAAGGAAAATACAATGAATTGGGAAGAGAACAAAAAGGATGTAAACATCCACAAGACCCTATCAGCAGACTCAACAGAAAGGAACCTACAACCATTTTTTGTCTAAGAACAGGACACTGCAGGCTCAACAAACACATGCATAAAATAAGGACTACATTATCCCCCCTGTGCCTGTCAGACAGAACCATAAACACTTGTGCACATTCTGCAGGTCTGTCCATGCAACCAACAACTACGATATGGAACCTGGCCTCAAGAGCAAAGTGTGCAGAGTAAACCACTGAACCACAAAGGACCTGCAGTTGACATGCAAGTTCACAGAGGCAGCCCATCTGACTGATGGTCTGACAAGCATATGAAAAGAATGCAAAGAGGAACTGTCTGTATGTTCTGTGATGTTTTCTGAGATCTAACAGAAGGGGAAAAGGATCATTTTAACTGTCTGTATGTTCTATGATGTCTTCTGAGATCTAACAGAAGGGGAAAAGGATCATTTTAACTGTCTGTATGTTCTGTGATGTTTTCTGAGATCTAACAGAAGGGGAAAAGGATCATTTTAACTGTCTGTATGTTCTGTGATGTCTTCTGAGATCTAACAGAAGGGAAAAAGGATCATTTTAACTGTCTGTATGTTCTGTGATGTTTTCTGAGATCTAACAGAGGGGAAAAGGATCATTTTAACTGTCTGTATGTTCTGTGATGTCTTCTGAGATCTAACAGAAGGGGAAAAGGATCATTTTAACTGTCTGTATGTTCTGTGATGTTTTCTGAGATCTAACAGAAGGGGAAAAGGATCATTTTAACTGCCTGTATGTTCTATGATGTCTTCTGAGATCTAACAGAAGGGGAAAAGGATCATTTTAACTGTCTGTATATTCTGTGATGTCTTCTGAGATCTAACAGAAGGGGAAAAGGATCATTTTAACTGTCTGTATGTTCTGTGATGATTTCTAATATCCAAAGAAGGAGAAAAAGAACTTTTTAACTGCCTGTGTATTTTATGATGATTTCTGAGATCTAATAAGGTAAAACAAACATTTTACTGTCAATATGTTCTGTGATGTTGATCTGATTTAAAATGATAACAAAGTATTTGTTCATGACTTATCCTGTTTACCAAGAAAGTACACTCACAAAAGCATTTCTTCAAAACTATTCTGTTCCAAAAGAAATAGCAACAAACAATATGCTTCTAAATTATTATGTTTAACAAGAAAATATCCACACACAACAAAAACTGAATCTCCTCCACAGTATCTGTGGTTACACAGAAAATAGTAACAAAACTTCTTCTATTCTATTTTGAAATAATAACAAAACATTATCTGTCTGATAACTCTGAGTGAACTAAAACAACATAAAGCATTTTCAAGTGTTAATCATTTTCCTAATGACTCAAATCCCCACAAAAAATTAACTTACCATAAGCTTAAATTTGTAAATATATTTAGATTTGCCACTGCTGTCCTTGACCTCCTTAGAGAAAACTAGGCAGACGTCAAACAAAAATAAGTGACGATCACGGCCTTTCTTGATCAGCTGCTTAGGATCCCAAACTGTAAAGTTATCTTGTAGGAGGACTTCACCATAAGCCTGGAGGGTGTCTTCAAGTCCTTCTAGCATGCTGAGGTGCATGGCGTCATTGGCTTTCTTAGGAACATTCATCATGACTTCAAGTGCTTCCTGGAAAAGGATTCACAATTTTATTTTTATTTCACAATTCAACTGTTTAGGGTTTCCAATGCCTAATAATTGCAATACTGACATTGGATAGGAAACATGCTGAGAAAGACTGTGAATATAACTAGAATGTCTTTATGCTGGAACCCATAAGATGCCCATAAATAAGGTCAGACCCGAAAACATGTGCTCACTGGCTGTAAACTTCAGCAGAAAGTTCTGGTTGTTCATCCCCTTCTGGACTTAAGTCTTGTTCCAGAATCTGTTTTGCAGGCACATCTGTTTAGAGATCTGGCTTTTTCTTATGCAGATGGTTGGTTCCTAGCCTCTCAGGCAAAAGCACTCTGACGTCAAAGAAAGCACCTGCAATTAGTCCCCTTTTATAACTGCCTGGGGGACAGTGAGTCTATTCTTGTGTTTATCCTCCACATCGTAGCCCGGAACCCATATGGACAATGTTAAGATAACACAAAAGAAGCTAACCATACAATTTAGGACAAATGAGTTAATGCAATAGCTGCCGGTAACAGAAACAATAAAAGATAGCTGGAAAATAGCACATTTTATTTAACTAACCAATGTTCACACTATAAGTTGCTTGCTAATAGGGAAACAAGTAAAAACAGTAGACTTTACTGGACTAACCAAAGGATATATGGTGAGTTGCTCGTATTAAAGTAAAGGACATCATCGGGCGTATTGGGCATATAGCGCTAGACCTATATTTTATAGACCAATTAGCGGTCAGTGGATGATGTGGTCAACATCACGCTGGCTATCTTTACTTCCCAGAACTGAGCCTGTTACCTATTTAAGGCTAAGTCGATCTGGAAGCCAAGGTCATTGTTTAAAACAGCCCAGCTCCGTTCGGATTTGAACCCTTCGGATTCACAGGTGAGCGTCTCGCCGCTATACCATTGTAATAGGACAAAAATTACCAAAGGATACGTTATGAGCTGTTTTGGTACCAAAAGAGTTACAAGATTATCTGAAACTGGCTATCAAACTGTCAGAGGTTCTGCAGAGACTGGGAGTGAAAACAGAGTTACTGAGAGGAGTAAACGAGAGACAACTGACAGATTTCTACCACATTTAAAGAATAACACTCTTTTAAAAAACATACTGGTTGGGGTGGGGTGGGGGGATGTCAAAGACAAGAGAGCAAAAGACAGACAATGACACAAGTGGGAGAACAACATCAACAGATGGACGAACAAAAGTTTAAGAGAGTGTACTATCAAGATAAGAGACAGAGCGTGCTGGAGATTCATTGCAGCCAACCTGCATTTTGGAGACACCACCAAACTGACGGTTCTAGCAGCAGCTCTACTCTAGGAAACAACAACAACAGCAACGACACAGAGGTAAACAGTTGTGAATTCTACAAAGAAGGATGGCGAAGCATACCTTGATTTCACCAGTATGTTCCTCACAGTATGTCAGCAAATCTTTGAGCAGCAACTGATATTTGGTAACCCGCTGCACCGGTTTGATTAAATATGAGGCAATAGGTTCATTCAGCTTGCTTTTGTGTTGCATCTCCTATTGGAAGGAAAGATTCAGGCTTTCATGAACATGAAACTTGTGCACTGTCCGCAAGTAAAAATATAGTCAGGCAACCTTTTTACACCAGTGATGCACCGGGTATTTGATTTTATTTAACTGTCCCGTTGCGCCATCTACATATACCACATAGGGTAGGGCTATTCAACCCAGCAGGCCAAATTTAGCCTCCAGAGGTTTAGCAAGTGGCCTGAGGATCGCCTCTGCCAACTGTACTGTAGGAATGATCTTTCTAAGCTGGGGCTCGCACCTCTGGCCCATCACGATCCCCATATTCCAAAATTTTCGGCCCTGAGGAAATGTAGTCAAATAACCGTGAAGAAGGCTTAGAGTATGTTCCTCTATTTTTTTCTAACATGTGCAATCCCTTCCATCTGTTCCAATATTCTGTTCTACCATGTGTAATCCCTTCCATCTGTTCCAATATTCTGTTCTACCATGTGTAATCCCTTCCATCTGCTCCAATATTCTGTTCTACCATGTGCAATCCCTTTCATCTGTTCCAATATTCTGTTCTACCATGTGTAATCCCTTCCATCTGCTCCAATATTCTGTTCTACCATGTGTAATCCCTTCCATCTGCTCCAATATTCTGTTCTACCATGTGTAATCCCTTCCATCTGTTCCTGTATTCTGTTCTACCATGTGTAATCACTTCCATCTGCTCCAATATTCTGTTCTAACATGTGCAAACCCTTCCATCTGTTCCAATATTCTGTTCTTCTTCTTCTTCTTCACTTCCTCTTTTACCGCTGTTGGGTGTCGAGGGAGATATAAGTTCTGTTTCTTACTCTTCTGGCTGCCTCGACCATAGGCACATCGTGCTGTTGTAGAGTTTCTCTGATGTTATCCTTCCATCTTGTTCTTGGTCTACCCCGTGCTCTACGTCCTTCTTCTCTTTCCATGTATGCTTTGTATGGTATGGTGTCACAAGGCATTCTCTCTAAGTGGGCAAACCATTTCACTTGCTGTCTTTGTATGTAATCCAGAATTGGCTCTTTATGATCTCATTCCTGATCTTATCTCTTATGGTCACCCCTACAGCCCTTCTCAGACATCTCATTTCCGTGGTTACTAATTTTCTTTTATGGTTTGTTGTGAGTGTTCTACCAAGTGCAATCCCTTTCATCTGTTCTACCATGTGTAATCCCTTCCATCTGCTCCAATATTCTGTTCTACCATGTGCAATCCCTTACATCTGTTCCAATATTCTGTTCTACCATGTGTAATCCCTTCCATCTGTTCCAATATTCTGTTCTACCATGTGTAATCCCTTCCATCTGTTCCAATATTCTGTTCTACCATGTGTAATCCCTTCCATCTGCTCCAATATTCTGTTCTACCATGTGTAATCCCTTCCATCTGTTCCAATATTCTGTTCTACCATGTGTAATCCCTTCCATCTGCTCCAATATTCTGTTCTACCATGTGTAATCCCTTCCATCTGTTCCAATATTCTGTTCTACCAAGTGCAATCCCTTCCATCTGTTCCTCTATTCTGTTCTACCATGTGCAATCCCTTCCATCTGTTCCTCTATTCTGTTCTACCATGTGCAATCTTTTCCATCTGTTCCAAGATTCTGTTCTACCATGTGCAATCCCTTCCATCTGCTCCAATATTCTGTTCTACCATGTGCAATCCCTTCCATCTGCTCCAATATTCTGTTCTACCATGTGCAATCCCTTCCATCTGTTCCTCTATTCTGTTCTACCATGTGCAATCACTTCCATATCATGGATGGAATCCAGTTCAGCCCCTTCAGCCTCTCTCATCATCGTTCATTTTAGGGTTTCTTTTGGATGTCCTCGCTTTCCCAATCTGTTATTTCCAATTTGAGTGCCTGTTTGGTGATTCTCCACTCATTTATTCCCAGGATTGGTCCAGTACAGTGCCATCTTTTTTGTCTCTTAACTGTTGTTACGAGTGGCTTCACAGACATAACTCCTTTTTTTTGTCTATCCCGATTTAATTCATCCCATTTTATGTTCAAGATTTTCCTCAGGTATTTGTTTTCAAATGCATTTAACTTTCATTCAAAATCTCCATATTATATTATATACACATGATTAAATCTATTCATATGTTTCCTTTTTTGGTCTTCCACTGGGTTTCAGTTTTAGACCCCAAGCAGCAAATGACTATGTAGACTCTGTGGCTCAGAGGTCAGAGAATGCGGTTAACAATTTCATGAACCTCAAATATTATGGTTTGCTCCCCGTGGCAGATGGTTTAAAAAATTGTATCCTGGTTTTGAGACAATGGTAGGAGACTAGCACAGTCAAAGAGACTGGGGCTAAAGGTTAAAGTTAAACCCTGAGTAAACCTTTAACCCCAGTATCTTTGACGGTGCTAGTCTAAAGAGACTGGGGCCTCACCATGTAATCATAATCCTAAAGACAACAGTGATATACTGTAGCTGATCTTCATTTTAGAAATGGCACAGATCTTTTATTTGTGCGTGCCGCAGCACATGACAAAACTTAATTCCCATAAAATGTCCACACTGCTTTACTTGCCTGTTTGTAAATATAATTTACAGAGTGACTCCTCCAGTATTTCTAATGAAGCCATCTTCTCTACACATGATGTGTCCCCCTCCCGCAGTTTAGACAATGTACATAATTTGGTAATGGTGTCAGAGTTTTACCCAACTATGATACAGTGTTTGTGACACTTCCTACTCAACTCATACACTTGCTGCACTGACAGGCATGCATCAATATACTGTATCTTCATTCGCTGATGAAATTCTAGAAGTTTCATCCTCTCACTGATTAAATAATTTTTTTTAAACAGTTTTAAAAAAAAGATAACAGAATGCTGCTCCTCTTTGATGCATGCCAAAGTGGGGTGGCCATTTTAAAACTTTCATTATGATGTTACCATGTTCATCTGCACTGTGATGTCATGTGTTTAACACTCTTGATATCTTTCACAAAAATACTGACAGGTTACAAGACAACAACGGCTGGGTTACTGTAATTTCTATCACACTTTTAAGCATTTTTTAATGAACCCCCTCGCACAACTATGTCTTGGAATATACTCATACACAGAAAATACTCACCTCAAAGAAGGATCCGGCCTGTTCCACTAGCAAGGCATTAGAATCAGGTTTGTTCTTACAGTACGTCACGTAAATGGAAAATTTCTCAGCCTGTGGAATCATTTATTGTTCAGCTCAAAAGAAGAAGCTATTGTGCAAATACATCAAGCCAACTATCTTACACTGTTTGTGCAATGCACAGAGACATTGCAGAATGATAATCAGAATAAGCGAAGCTACAAGTAGTTTTGGAATACCTGAAACAACATTTTTAAACATTTTTCTGGATATCAAAGTTATATACTATTTCTTCTTTTCCTTCTTCTTCTTCTTCTTCTTCTTTTTCTTCTTCTTCTTCTTCTTCTTCTTCGTTTCTTCTTCTTCACAATCACTGGTTGTAAAATCAGTAGAAATTTTCTGCCCACTTCTGAATTTTGGTTTGTTCCAGGATTGAGTTTTGCATGCAAACCTGTTTTACAGATCAGACTTATCTGTGTGCAGATTGTTGGTTCCTCATTTCTTTTCTATTAAAGGAAGAGAATGACAAGCTTATAATCAGGGTGCTACATCAACAGTTAGCATCTACACCTTAAGATATTTGCTGTGGGAGATAATGCACCTAGGGGTATGCATAGTGTGCTATGATATTGATTCTTAATCAGTAAATCAGTAAATCACCCCTCAGGCAGATGCATGTAGCGGGCTGTTTCAATGGAAATGTCAATCCTATCCATACTGGCCAGGCCCCTGGTTAGAGGGTTCTTAAGCTATAACAACCCTTCCCTGGTGCACCACCATATGTGCGGTTCAGCACTTCTGCTTGCGGTATTCAAATGTCCAAATAATACTCTTCGAGGTAGTTAATTTTTATTTTTGTTAAATAATGTTTTCAATACCACAAATTGTAATCAGGTTTGCTTGGGTCTATTGCCCCCCCCCCCACTCCCCCCCCCCCCAAAAAAAAAGGCCCCAAACCCACAAAGGGAACTTTGTTTAATACAACCACAGTCCTGATCAGGCACAGAGATCAGTTATATTCTATATTACAGGGCTAATCGACCGGCAGCCAACAGGCCAAATCCGGCCCGCAGAGGCCTAACAAGTGGCCTGTGGATCACCTGCCAGTTGTACTGTATTAATGATTGTTCTATGCTGGGGCTCAGACCTCTGGCCTGCGAACGACCCTAGTTTTCAAAATTTCTGCCCCTGAGTAAACTTAGTTGAATAGCACTGCTATATTACGACCTCTGATAAAATCAGCTCAAAGATCAGTTACGTTCTAGCTACAATCACTCATAAAATTAGCTCAAAGATCAGTTATTTTCTACATTACAACCTCTAAAAAAATAAACCCAAAAATCAGTTATGTTCTACATTACAACTATGATAAAATCAGCTCAAAGATCAGTTATGTTCTACATTACAACTCTGATAAAATCAGCTCAAAGATCAGTTATATTCAAAGATCAATTATATTCTACTCTACAATCTCTGATAAAATCAGCTCAAACATCAGTTTAATTCTACACTAAAATCTCTATATTTAACATGATAACTGCTGCCAGATCCAACAACAAGATTTATTATGAGCTAATCCAACTTACCCATGTGACAAAACAATGACCCACATCTTCTGGGATTGTTTCGTATTTCTCTAACTCTTTCAGAAACACACTGCAAAACAAAAACAAATATTTTTTTTTAAAATAATAAAGACTGAAAAACTATATACAGGTAAATTACACCAAAACAGATTCTGTAACTTCTGCAAACACAGCCATAAACTAAACCACATATAAACCTAAATGTCAGTGTTTCCTTTTTGTGGGAGTGATAAGTCAAAGCTGGCAACAGTTGGACACTGAACAGGGATTTCACCTTAACACTATAAAGCTTTGTATTCATCTAGAAGAATGAAGTCAGAAAGCTAGTTCATAATAAGCCAGGATAAAGAAGGATCAAGGTTGTGTCTGCTCAGATGTGAGTGTAACAGATTTATGTATTTGTTTTAGAAGCCTGATTGATTTATGGTATGGGGATCTGTCTTATTTCTGCATAGGGTCAATGGTTTTCAAATTTTCTAGGGGAGTCTCCATGGTGAAGTGGTCAATCTGTTTGCCTCACACTGTAAAGATCGTGAGCTCATTTCATGGTGGCCTCAGTCAGTTCACAAGTGCAATTTATACACAGATCCCTGGGGACTGTCGCCGGAGCTACAGAGTTCTTGATTTGTGTGACACATTCTGCAATAACGGGCAAGCCCCATAAACAATATATGCTAAAAGGCAAGAATAATTATCTCATATCTTTTCTTACTTATTTCTCACCTGCTGGCCCAAAGGTCTTGGGTTCAAACCCACACGTGGTGAGTTTTTTTCTTTCAAACTGACTTTTGCTCCCAAGTCAGCCCAGCCTACAATAGGTACCAGGTAATTTCCTGTGAAATAAAGGTGGCTGGCATCATGTCGATCACATCAACTAACTGCCCAGAAAGCAATGGCAAGCTACTGAATGCAACACTGACTAGTTGAAAAAAAAAAAAACTGCCAGCAAATGCTGGGGTTGGTCTGCAAGGTCCTGTAAAGGATACACAACTAACTTACAGGTCACAGACAACATGTACAAGTACTCACTCTTTATGGAATTCATAAATCTCATCCATGTTGCTGAACACTACATTCTCTTTGTTTAAAATGCCAGAGGGAACATTAACATTGGGTTGGGACATTGGCTTCATGTAGCACTGCAGAGTGAGAAACACAGACATCTCACAAATGTATGATGTGGCATCACAAGTAATCATAATTAATGGCTGCAACTGAGAAAGTAAACTAACAATCAATGGATGAGGCAGAAGAGAGAGAGAGAAAACAACAATGGATAAATGTGAAAATATAAAAACAAAAAACAAACACAAAAAAAACAATGGGTAAAGGTGAAGAGAAAAAACAAACAATGGATGAAGGTGACGAGGAAAAAAAATGGATGAAGGTGAAAAGAATAAAAAATGTAAGAAATTGAAGAGAAAAAAAACAGTGATGTTAGTTCAGTTAATAGCAAAGTCACTCACATTGATACATGTCTCTAAATCTTTCACATATGTTCTTTCAGTCTGCAACAACTCGGCCATAATGAATCTGTGGAATTCATTCACAGACAATGTTAAATATTGAAGCAGTTTTTCATTGGTTGCATTTAAACAGTATCACACCATTTCTAAGTGTGAGGCTTCAAGATTCACGTGGCGAGGTCAGGGTAAGTGTGTATGAAGGTCATTCGACTTACCCTGACACTTACTTAATTTTACTTGCTCATATTCTCCTCCTGACTTCCTGAGCTTGAAAAATTACTCAGTATTAAAAGTGCTGTGATATAGTTCATTATTAAAACACTGAGTTTAATCAATACAGCAATTTACCATCAGAAAGGGGGGGGGGGGGGGGGGGAGGGGACAACACGTCTATCAAATTGTTTGGGGGGGGGGGGGGGGGGGGGGGGGGGGGAGGGGATGTGAACAACACGTCTATCAAATGCTTTCACAGTCAAACTAACAAACTCTCAAGTGTTAAAAAATAATGCTCTGGTACTATTCACTTTATTATCCTACCATTTATACATCACCATCATATCAAACTCAAAAGTCTTCACATAGATGAAAAGCTAAATGTAACTAGAAGAGAGACAGGATCAGAAATGACGACATCAAGAAAGACGTTTGGACAGAAGCAGTATTAACCCTTTGGAGACAGAGCTTTTTTTTTAGAGTGCCAACAAGACGAAGCCTTCAGGGAAGTATACACACACAAATTTTTACACAAAAAAAAGCGCGTAATTAACATACACAAAACTATATACTTAATTGGGGAGGAAAATGAATGAACTAACAGAATGTATATGAATCAAAAATTAACTATTATGATTTGCATAATTTATGCAGGCTTTTTTTTTTTTTTTTTTTTTTTTTTAAATGGGATCAAACAGGACTAACCTAAAAAATTTGGGTATTTTTTCATGAATGAAGCCTGAATAACTCCTAAGACTTATGTTTTGGGGAAATGAGGCCCATTAAGGCCGTTCAGACATTTCTGACACATAGTTCTATTCATTTTCATACCTTTTGCTATGTTTCGGTTGCTATGACGCAACATGACTTTTCGCCGTCATAGAGCACAGGTAACCCCTAAAAAAAAAATTGCTGTAAAATTACACATCAAACTTTCTAAAAACCCGTCATTAAACAGATCAAGAAATGCGGGAAGCAATCTGATTGGCTGGTAAGAAAACCAGCCAACCAATCTCAAGGCTTTTATTACACAGGGCCAACCGATCGGCCCAGCCATCCTTTTGACTACTTTGCGTTGGGCCGATATTTCGGCCACGTCATCTCCAGAGGGTTAAACTACATCATGAGACAATGGATCAAATGGTTGGACATGTGTCAAGACTACCATCAGACAGTGCATCACGGAAAGCGCTGTCACTTAGACATAATGGAGGCACAACCAGAGGTTGACCATGCAAACAATGGAAAGACGAAATATCTGAGGCCAAAAATACCAGCACCTACTAAGCACATACCAAGGATCTAGCCCCGCTGCCTCTTTAAAACCTGATGCTGAAAGGCAATACAGGACTAGAGAAGATAAAGAAGAAGAAGAAAAGCTAAGAGGACCCATGTCACAGATGTGAGCACTAAATACTTCTTGGCAGTAGGCAATGTAAAAATAGCAGCTAAGAATTTCTAATCATAAAACTGAACCCACAAAAGAAAATGTTCAATAAGTATGAATCTGGTACACAAACCCATTTGGATCCCCACTGGTGCTTCAGAGTTAGTGCATGTGTTCAAAATTCAAAGTGTTAACCAGATTCAAAAGTACAAAGTCACAATTTCCATGAGATAAAGTGACATAATCTGTGTATAGTAATAAAGTATACCCGGTGAACTCATAAATTAAGATACAAATTATCAATCTGAAATGTCAAAGCACCAACTTACTCTCTCCTCCTAGCAGACTTTCTCTTTTCCTCCGTTATTTCTTTATTTGTACCCGTCTGTTCCAGTTTTTCTTCTATGGAGGAATCGCTCTGCCTCTGCTCATCTTTCTCATTTTGCTAGATATTCAAAAAGTATATACATTCATATCATCATTCAAGGATGATGGAGGCCAAGTAGAAACTAGAACCTATAAAGTGGCCTAAATCTACACAAGGCGTGGGAAATCTTTTGTTTGTTCCTGCTGAGAGCCATTCAAATACTTATAACATAGTTTGCTGGCAAACAAAATTATCAACTTATGAATTCATTCATTCACTATCATGTTGTGCCATTATATGTCACATAGGGCTCACAGTATATTCTTCCATTCCTTGTTATCCAGTGCAATCAGTTTAATATCATGGATGCATCCAGCACCTTTGACCTCTCTTGCCAATGTTCACTTTAGGCTTCCTCCTCTCCTAAATCCCTTCAGTTCCCATTTTAATGCTTGTTTAGTGACTTTTCTGCTTGATTCTTCTCAGGTTGTGTCCAGTACAAGGTCATCTTCTCTGTCTTATAACTGTAATGGTTGCCAAGACATTTCTCTTTTTCTTCAACCCTTTTGAATTCATCCCATTTTATGTTTATAATTTTTCATAGGCATTATTATTTTAAAAAAATAAAAAATAAACATAAATTAGTTCAAATTTAATACTGGTTGCTTGGGAGGGACCAAATTATCTCACAGGCCAGACACAATACAGACAGTTGCCACAGCTCCAATTATGTCTAATACATTAATGTATTTAATAGAGTATTTTTCAGAGAATTTTAGATGCAGGCATACACTGTATAGCACATTATTCTAGAAAACCTAGATACTAATTAGTTATAACATGAATATAACAACTATCTCATTTTAAACACTTTCTATTATATTTTAAACTGGCTAGACAAGGACTGGGAATCAGAATTTATAACCGGAGGGGGGAGGGGGGATGACATTTATTGGAGTGATCAGGTTCAAATTACAGCTTCCACAAAATGCCTGCTGTTGTCTGTAATGCTGTCACACGCAGGATTTTGAAATACGGACTTCAGGTGCTTGTAGATACAGTCCAAGCACCACAGGGCTAATACAGCTCTAAATGGTTGACGCTGTTCTCACACATGAATGTATTTCACACAGTGTTTATATAGAGAATTTCTAGATGCAGGCATACAATGTATGACACATTATTCTAGAAAACCTAGACAAATTATAACATAACAAATATCTCATTTCAAACATTTTCTATACATTTTTTATTTGCTAAACAAAGACCAGGAACTGGAATTCATAACAGAGACTGTTCAAATGAACTCTCTATACATAAACAGATTTTAAAAAAGTAAAGATCCTTTTTCACGTCTTTAGGCGCATCCGGTATATGAGAAGAGCGCCCATATATTTTCAGACCATCGGCACTAGGTGGGTAATGTGGTCTGCATTACGCCGGCAGTCTCTACTTCCCCAGGACAGCCATCCTTCTCTACATATAAAACACAGGATATATACTTCTTCTTCTCTAGTCCTTTCGAGCATCATGTGTTTTAAAACGCATCGGGTGAGGGCTTTGGTATGTACTACATAGATGCTGGTATTTATGGCCTTTGGCTCTGCTTCCATTATGTCTAAGTTCCAGTCTTCTCTGTGGTGCACTGTCCGATGGTAGTCTTGAAACATGCCCAAACCATCTGATTTGTTGTCTCTTGATGTAGTTTAATACTGGTCCTGTCCCAACTTCTTTCCTGATAGGGTCATTTCTGATCAGGATATATACCATGAAGATAAAAGACATACCTCTTGATGAGTCACTCCCAGCTTTCCCTGGAGCTGTACTCTGTATTTTTCCATGCGGCTTGAGAAGAGTTTGTAGCGCTTGTCCACCATGGAGCACCATTCCATGATGCTTGTGGCATGAATGTTACCTTTAGTGACAAAGTCATCCGCCAGCTGCAGAAGCAACTTGACATTTTCTTTCGTTTCCTGCCAAAAAATGATTCAGAATGAATCAGTAATTTCAGGGAAACAAAATCAATCTAGTACACTTTCCCAAACATTTCTTAGTCGCAGTGCTTTTTTTTCAATTACAGTTTTCCCCAGCGCCGTAACCTAAGTAAAAGTATTACTGTATGTAAGAGATAAAAAATTTTTTTTATCTTTGAATATTTCGCTGCCCCCCTGTGAAGAGGTCGCGGCTCCCTGGGCGCCGTGGCACACAGTTTGAGAATCACTGGTCTAATAGATTTTTGGGAAAGCTAGAGATGATTTTTCAAAAATTTGTTGGGAAAAATTGTAAAAAAAGACACAAATAAAATACTTCAGGTACATTCAAAGTTATATATGATTTTATAAGACTTATACTGAGGGAACAATTTAGACTTTTCACCGTGGTAATATATTAAAAAAAAAAAAAAACAGAGTAATTAATCCATGGGAAATTCTCAAAACAATCCTTCTGCCAAACTGGCAATTACTGCCTTTATTATACCACTTCTGAGGCGGGAGGGGGGGGGGGGGGGGAGGTGTCTTTGAGCCTGAGGATTTTCGGCCGTATGGCTAGTGCTGTCGCCACGACTGTGCAGGTAAAGAGTTTATCTTGCCAACAATCCTTCAAAACCATATTACTCAGATCACTAATAAATATGTTAAAGATTTATTTATGTACATTTTTAAAAAATATTTTTCAATACAAAAAGATGTTTAGAGGAAGTTGTCAATAAAAAGAAATAGAGTGGAGCATTAAATGGAATACACTTTAAGAGCCTAAAAAATTAGGTAGTGAGTGACTAATGATGTGAACACCTGACCTCCATCATTGAGGCTTTGGGAACGTCAATAGCGTTAACTACGTGTCTTATTCACATATCACTGTAGAAAAGTCAGTTAAGTGATGTTTACAGAGAATCAGACCCAACCGGTAGTATTGGTTTTGCAGCTTGTCTGGGGTGACAGGATTAGGACACCCAAGCAAGAAGCTAGGAGGAATGATGATTCCTCAAGAGATGAATAAAAAGTAAGATGGCTGAGTGAGTGTACGACTAGGGTGAGCGATAGAGAGTGTTGGAGACCAATTACATCCAACTTTCAGTGTGAAGATGGCACGCATATGACAGATTGAATGAATACATTTGCATTCTGTGTGACTTTGGTAATTTTAATTCTTAATTTCATCATCACTGTTATTATGAGGTTAGTCTTAAGTGTTGAAGTGACCTGATGTCATTCCACAGCACCATTTTCTCAAGAAACTTCTTTAGTTAAACAAAATTCTTCAGATCAATGTTCTTGCAAACCTGAATAACATAGTATTTTCCATGACGACTTCTTATTTAATTTTACTCTGGATTTTACCTTTCAATATTTTCATGGCCAAGGTCAGCATCTCATATTGATCCAAGACTATGCTATTTTGTACTCCAAAAATGAATTCACTCAACACAAACTATGATTACGAGCCTCAAAAAATAAGAAAAGGAAAAAAATGAAAACAGGTACACATAATATTTCAAATAAAATTTGTTGACAAAGACTTGCTTTTCTATTCGCTGATAAAGACTTTAGTCAAAATATCACTCACTGAGTGCTAATTGGCCTATACAAATCAGGGTCTAGCACCATATACCTAATGAAACAATGTCGCAAGAATGGTTCCTTACATTACTTACGGTTAAATCCTTGCTTAGTCTTTCAACTCCAAATAGAAGCACAAAAACCCTCAACCAACCCACACTAAACCCACACCAAAATGTCTGATAATATTCATGACTGACTGCAATTCTGTAGCTAGTCGTCTGTACAATGAAAAATCCAATCTCATTCCAACCCTCTCCAGCTGCCTCTTATGACCTGCATGGTGGGTTGCTTCCCTGTTGGGGAGTAGAGTGCAATGACTACTAAATCCTACAAACGTAGACAGTGGTATATGTCCACTCTGTGATAAGTCTCTGTGATAAGTCCAGCTTGGTATATGTCTTGTTTAGAAGCGTAACAATTTTGCTTAGTATATGGCCTTTGTTTACAACTCATGTGCTAGAATATGAATGAGTCTAAATCAGTCACAACACTGCTTGTTTCTGCAAGGTGTAGAGAGGTTATATTTTCATTTATTTCATCTAACTGCTTTTGTCTTTGTGTATTTTAGTATTAAGCAGTGTTTAAAATATTTTATACAACCCCATCATCAATGTAGAATATGCCAATAACAATAGTAAAGTAAAGTAAAGGACCCTTTTCCACGCCTTTCAGGTGTATTGGGCACATAGGGCTAGACTTAATTTTATAGCCAAATGGCCCTTGGTGGGTGATGTGGTCAGCATCATGCCGACCACCTTTACTTCCAAGGAGTGTACCTGGTACCCACTCAAGACTAGGTTGACCTGGGAGCCAAGGTCATTTTTGAAGAACCGAACCCACGACCTGCCGGTCCGCAGCCAAGCGTCTAGCCGCTAGACCACGGCGGCTTCCATGCCAGTTAGAATAAAATTCTTTTTTTCATGGGAACAGATTATTCATTCTCCCTTTATTTCTTAGGAGAAAATTTTTTTGGTACATGCCTTGTTTAGCATAAGTCCAAGGATCCGAAATGGATTCAGGATGCATATCGAGGTATCACTGTAATTACCTTAGCTCTGTTCCTGAATTCGTAATGCTCTTTCAACAATGCTTCTGTCTCATTCTTGTCAGATCCCAGATTTGTATGAGAAGTCAGGTAAGCTTCACCGTAGTCATGGATCCACTCCAGGGCCTGAACAAAGTGTGTACAGTAATTATGATTAACTTATTAACTGTAAATATAATTGTGAGCTGTGAGTTAAGAACCGACATCACAGTACTTTGGAAATTTCCATAAGAAGCCCGTCCCCATTTTCATTAGCCTGCACAGAGTTCCAATTCCGATAACACCAGTAATAGATTGATTGTATGCCCGTCTCCCCTTTTCCTTTTCAGTCCCCGCTGCACCCCTGGTCAGTCCTCACTGCACCCCTGGGGGTCAGTCCCCGCTGCACCCCTGGTCAGTCCCCGCTGCACCCCTGGTCAGTCCCCGCTGCACCCCAGGTCAGTCCCCGCTGCACCCCTGGTCAGTCCCCGCTGCACCCCTGGTCAGTCCCCACTGCACCCCTGGTCAGTCCCCACTGCACCCCTGGTCAGTCCCCACTGCACCCCTGGTCAGTCCTCACTGCACCCCTGGTCAGTCCCCACTGCACCCCTGGTCAGTCCCCACTGCACCCCTGGTCAGTCCCCACAGCTCCCCTGGTCAGTCCCCACTGCACCCCTGGTCAGTCCCCACTGCACCCCTGGTCAGTCCTCACTGCACCCCTGGTCAGTCCTCACTGCACCCCTGGTCAGTCCCCACTGCACCCCTGGTCAGTCCCCACTGCACCCCTGGTCAGTCCTCACTGCACCCCAGGTCAGTCCCCACTGCACCCCAGGTCAGTCCCCACTGCACCCCTGGTCAGTCCCCACTGCACCCCTGGTCAGTCCCCACTGCACCCCTGGTCAGTCCCCACTGCACCCCTGGTCAGTCCCGGCTGCACCTCTGGTCAGTCCCCACTGGCCAGTTCCCGCTGCACCCCTGGTCAGTCTCCACTGCACCCCTGGTCAGTCCCCACTGCACCCCTGGTCAGTCCCCGCTGCACCCCTGGTCAGTCCCCGCTGCACCTCTGGTCAGTCCCCGCTGCACCTCTGGTCAGTACCCGCTGCAACCCCGGTCAGTCCCCACTGCACCCCAGGTCAGTCCCCACTGCACCCCAGGTCAGTCCCCACTGCACCCCTGGTCAGTCCCCACTGCACCCCTGGTCAGTCCCCCACTGCACCTCTGGTCAGTCCCCGCTGCACCTCTGGTCAGTCCCCGCTACACCTCTGGTCAGTACCCACTGCAACACACGCCTGGTCAGTCCCCACTGCACCCCTGGTCAGTCCCCACTGCACCCCTGGTCAGTCCCCACTACACCCCTGGTCAGTCCCCACTGCACCCCTGGTCAGTCCCCACTGCACCCCTGGTCAGTCCCCACTGCACCCCACTACACCCCTGGTCAGTCCCCACTGCACCCCACTACACCCCTGGTCAGTCCCCACTGCACCCCACTACACCCCTGGTCAGTCCCCACTGCACCCCACTACACCCCTGGTCAGTCCCCACTGCACCCCACTGCACCCCTGGTCAGTCCCCACTGCACCCCACTGCACCCCTGGTCAGTCCCCACTGCACCCCACTACACCCCTGGTCAGTCCCCACTGCACCCCACTACACCCCTGGTCAGTCCCCACTGCACCCCACTGCACCCCTGGTCAGTCCCCACTGCACCATTCCCTTCATACGGTGATGAACTGTTTGTGCCTCCTCACTGTTTACTTACATCTAGCTTGTCATCCATCAATTTACCATCAAGTGGTGCAGAACCAGGGAATCTATATGCTGATCACTTCCCAACACACTGTCATGCCCGCGAGAAATATCCACAGAACTCTAACTACCTGGGACCTCTGAAGCGATGCCTGCCCCTGTGCAATACTATTAACAACAGAGGACCTGCGTTCTAATCCCAAAGCTTCTTCTGTCTCAATACATTTGTGCCAAGCAATCCTACTCTGTTAAATTTCCAGCAGCTCTTTCTATGGTTTCCCCATATTATTCATCATTGTCTCTAATTCTAGGTGGAAAAAAAGGCAACAAAGTATGACTTTCCAAGATACAGAATATACGGTGCTGTATTTAAATTATTTGTCTATAATTCTTTTGCATACTCAGACCAAACATGAAGTAAATAATAACACACCATGTGTTGTGCTGATACACACAGACATTAGCTTAACACACAGTGGGTTGCTTAAGCCACAAGAGGATAAGACACAAGAACTTATACACCAAAAGCAGTTCAATTACCTGTTTGGCACTCTGCTCAAATAAGACAAATTGATGACATTGTTCTAGCTTCCTCTTTTTCATTGTCCAGTATTCCAGCACCAGATTTTCCTGCTGCAGTAACTTGGCTAAGGTACCTGAGAGCACACATCAAGCGTTTCAATCTCACTATTTATATTATTTACATTGAAATGAAGCAATGAAATCTTAGATAAGCTAAATGTACCTACGATTCATCAAAGGTCTCTGTTTTGCTCACTGAAGGCACTGCTAACTGTACCTATGATTTATCAAAGGTCTCCACTCCATTTAGTGGATGTACTGTTTATAAACTTGTCTTTATACTCTCTCTCTCTCTCTCGCGCGCTCTCTCTCTCTCACTCTCTCTCTTTCTCTCTCTCTCTACCTCCATGAAGACATATATCTGTGTATCGCTCTCTGTACATGTGTGTGAATTTGTGTGTCTGTCAAGAGTCTGCACCTGTCTACTTTTCTTCCCTTTTCTAGATCCTCTACACAATTTTCTGTGAAGGAAAGGCAATAAGGAATGGAACTACACACCGCACCTTAGATTTCTTCTTCTTCTTCCTTACGTTGACCGGTTCTAAACTCCAGCAAAAAAGTTATAGTTGATTAGCCACCGCTGGACTTTAGATGTGTTACAGAACCTGAGTGTTGCATGCACATCCGTTTTACAGATCTAGCTTATTTATATGCAGAAGCTTGGTTCCTTGCCACTCAGGCAGATGCACTCTGACTTTGAAGAAAGCTGCCCCGTTTGTCCACTCATATGCCATACCTTTTGGGAAGGCAGTGGGCCTATTCTTGTTTTCCCCATAATGGGGCTAATGGGGCCCCAGAACCAGCATGGGGACCCCTAGATTTGATTGTGAGGATGTGTGAAAATCTAAGACTCTAACTCCAAATTTGTAACCTCAGTATCCTCATTCCCTGAGATCTATATCAGTACAGCAGCTAGACACATCTGCCTGTCCAAAGGTCGTAGGTTCAAATCTGCACAAGACAGATTTTTAGAAAGATTGACACGGACTCCCAACTTATAATGAGTAGCATTTCGGTTTAGACCTTAAAATGAGTATCAGAAAATGTAATGGGAAATGAGAGTTATTGGCACACTGCCTATAAGTGCCAACTGTCCTCAAAAATACAAGTCTAGCATAAAATGCCAGATGTGCTATTGGTGAGATAGGGGTCCTTTACTTTTTTTTTTTTACATCTCATATATCTTGTACTTATATATATCTGTATTCATCACTTTATGCTGCTCGATAATATATACAGTTGGCCTCTGTGTCTTAGGTATTGAAAATACGCTTCTAATGCTAAAGTGCCCGGTTCAATCCCAGCTGCAGGTAATTTGCCAGCAGACCATCTTGCATTGATTTCAACAGTGGTGTCGAGAGCTGACTGTCTAAAAAGCACTGGCAAATTTCTAAACCTTAACTGAACAGTAAAATCATAATCATAACAAAATGCTGGGGTTAGTTCTGCGACATCCTGTAAAGGATACGCAAACAAAAAATATATGCAACGGCACCTCAGAATTAAAATATCAATCTGTTCCAAGAGCCAACAAGCTTTAATGTTAAAATGTATTTTTCTAGATACAGTACACTGTAAATATAGTAACACATGATGATCATATTTAAATACATAAAAACATAAATAAAACTAATTTTAAAAATTGTATTTACTATACTTGATCAAAGTAGTGACACAGCAGGTGACACAGCAGGTGACACATCACATTGAAGCAGAAAGAGCAGGAAGGATTCAGGGAGATTATTGTTTGGGAAATCAGTCACTTTCCATGAAAATATCACAAAAACTTTCTGGTGTCTCATATCGTAGTCGTTCACCACTTGTTAGGTCACTAGTTTCTGTTGATATCCAGCGTTCTAAAGTGCTTTGGTGTTAGCAACCATTTTTTGTTTTCTAAAATGTTTGATAATGTTATCAATGAATAAGTTAACACACCTGTTAACTATGGCTCTCTCAGGGTGCTGTCACCCCTAACAACTTATTGTGTTTTCGATCACATGCTCAAAAGAGCTTGGATTTCAGCAGTGCTAATTCTTCCAGCCTTCTCCTTTTCCTCCGGGATGAAATTTCGTGTGCAATTTCTGCTGAAGCTTTTTGTGCTGTCAGCTCAGTCACATGACCGACGTTAAAGTTTCCAGACAAGATTGACTAGCTAATTTCAATCGGGTTTCAAGTTATTTGAAGTTTTGAGGCATTCAAATTCTGAGCTACCACTAATTATTATTATTATTATATATATATATATATATATATATATATATATATATATATATATATATGCAAACTGCACTTACAGATTTGCACAAGGAAGCAAGGGAATAGGCAATAAACTTTCTAAAACTGTAACATTACCATATGTCTGAGAAAAGTCAACATTTTTGACGCAGAACTCACCTTTCACCCGTTGCTCCGGGTTCCCAAATTTCATTTGCACGCCCAGAAAATGAAGGTTTCTGGTTACGTACTTAAGGAATGTTTCAGCAGTTCTTCTGGCTAAAGTGCATGCCTGAAACATAATCAAATACACATTAAAGACGCTTCTAGAAAATTTAATACCAAATTAAAGGTCTGATATTATTCAGTTGGCATCTGTGGCTTAGGTGTTGCGAACACGCTTCATAATGCCGGGGTGCCGAGTTCGATCCCAGCTGCAGGCCTTGTGCTGGTTTCGAAAGTGGTATCGAGAAGCCGGCCATCCAAAAAGCAATGGCAAACTACTGGACGTAAACTTGCCTAGAAAAACCACAACAGCGAAAAAAATCCTGGAGTTGGTTCTGCAACGTCCTATAAAGGATACGCAACTAACATTTAGATACTATTCAGCATTTTAACCCCATTTCGTCAGGTGCGAGATTTCATAGGGCATTCCTCGGGGCAATCCTAAAGTCTAGGATTAGGGTCAGGGCGAGTCTTAGTCACTGATCATTTAACACTGACCCTAAAACACTAAAACTCCTATACCTATACTCTAGGCATGTGCTGTTTTGCTTGTTTTGATACAATGCACACACATGACCAACGAAGGCATGTCATGACACACGAAATCGTGCACCTGACAAGATGAGATAAAAAAGCGTAATAGTGTCAAATTTGCTAGTGCTAGTGTTAAAAAACAACACACCACACCCCCCCCCCCCCACCCCACCCCCCTCCCAAAAAAAAAGAAAAAAAAATTTACATAAATATTTGTAGAAAAGTTTTTTAAATTTTTTTTATAAAGAAGTCATGGCTAGCCAGCTGTATCTCCTCAGGAAGACAGTAACTTGTCACTTTTAGATCTTATGCATTAGTGTTTAGGTCGCTGAAGTCATAAAAAGGGCTGGCTTTTGTCGGTTTGTCGGACTGTTTGATGTAGAAAGTCTTCCTCCCCCCTCCCCGACCACTAACAATTTTGAGTATTTCATTATTACCAATTTAGGTTATTTCATTATTAACAGTTTAGGGTATTTCATTATTAACAATTTTAGGTATTTCATTATTAACAATAACCAAAAAAAAAAAAAGGCAAAGAGACTATTAAAACAACTACCCAGTCACCTACTGATTTTACTGATTTACGACAAAAACATTCATTTTCAACCATGTTTTCAATGTTGCCATTTGTTTACTAAAAACTCACAACTCCAGAGAGTTGAGCCTCCCACCACTGAGCTAGCAAGAAAGTACACTTACCACTGAGCTAGCAAGAAAGCATACTTACCACTGAGCTAGTAAGAAAGTATACTAACCACTGATCTAGGAAGAAAGTATACTAACCATGGAGCTAGCAAGAAAAAGAAAGTATACTTACCACTGAGCTAGTAAGAGTATAATAACCACTGAGCTCTTCTTCTTCTTTGCTTCCAACAGCTGTAAACTCTGGTGAAAAGGTTTGGTTGTTTGTCCACTTCTGGACTGCAGTCCTGTTCCAGAACATGAATGTTATGATTGCATCCGTTTGATAGATCTGTCTCATTTATGTGCAGACTGTTGGTTCCTTGCCTCTCAGGCAGATGCATTCTGACTTCAGAGGCAGCTCCCAATTATTTGACTCTTATGACATGCTTTTGCGTAGGCAGTGGGCCTATTCTCGTTTTCCCTATAATAGGGCCCTGGAATCCACATGGGGAGAGAGTATACTAACTACTGAACTAGTAACAAAGTATACCAGCCACTGTTCTAGCAAGAGCAAGAAAATATACTAGTAATTGAGTTAGCAAATAATAAACCAACTACTGAGCTGGTAAAAAAAAAAGTTACCAACTAGTGAGCTAGCAAGACAGTATAGTAGCCACTGGTTTAGCAAAACAGTATACTTACCACTGAGCTAGCAAGACAATAAAATTAACGCAGAGCTAGCAAGAGATTATACTTACTACTGATCTATTAAGAAAGTATACTTCACTGAGCTAGCAAGAAAGTATACTAACTACAGCCAGAAAGAAAGTAAATCACACAACTTCATTAGCTTGTTTACTCACCCTGAGAAAGGCCTCTTTCTGTTCATTGTGTTTATTAATTAGTTGGACTAGATAGGCTGCCTTTGCCTGAGTGTTGGTTGTGCCAGCCTTTTCACTATTACACCAGTCTTCATCACGCTTGTAGTCCCTGTCCAAAGACTCCAGGACAGACCACACCTGTGACAAACAAGAGCACAATTACACATTTTACTGTCTCTATATCAGACAGTTGTGTGAAGTAAATCTGTTAAGGTTATTTATTTTAACTCCCGTAGGACCAGATGGTCCCTGCTTAACCTATTATTGTTCTAGACAAATGCTACTTAATTTTTCTACTTTACTAGACAGTTGTTATATAGCCCCCCAACCTGTCCAAAACAGTTGCTAACTGAACCTCCTATTATCCTAGACAATCACTACTGAACCTCCTGAAACTTAAGCTGTAAACCACCACCCCAGACAGTTACTGCTGAACCTCCTACTGTCCTTAACAGTTACTACTGAACCTCCTACTGTCCTAGACAGTTACTACTGAACCTCCTACTGTCCTAGACAGTTACTATTGAACCTCCTATTGTCCTTGACAGTTACTACTGAACCTCCTACTGTCCTAGACAGTTACTACTGAACCTCCTATCATCCTTGACAGTTACCACTGAACCTCCTACCATCCTAGACAGTTACTACTGAACCTCCTACTATCCTAGACAGTTACTACTGAACCTCCTACTGTCCTAGACAGGTACTACTGAACTCCTACTGCCTTCGACAGCTACTACTGAACCTCCTACTGTCCTAGACAGTTACTACTGAACTTCCTACCGTCCTTGACAGTTACTACTGAACCTCCTACCTTCCTAGACAGTTACTACTGAACAACCTACCATCCTTAACAGTAACTACTGAACCTTCTACTGTCCTAGACTGAATCTCCCACAATCACAGACAGTTGCTACTCAACATCATACTGTCCTAGACAGTTAAAGGATATTTCTAACATAAAACTGTAAACCAAGTGAGCAATGATATCACTCACCTGTTCAGCAGTTTTGTACCAATTTGTAGATGCCATCACCAGTTTTTGCCGCTCTTCTGCATGATACATAAGCTGTTGCCAGGCCAAGGTCACATTTTCAGCAATCGCCCGAACAAGCTCCCCATTGTAATGCTGCTGTTGGAGCATGACTTCTGCTCGTTGGGTCACCGTAACAACACTAAAATGTGTTTTCTGACAAGTAATTCGTAATTTATTAGAAATCAAGAATGCATTGTGTTTTTTCTTTGTGTTAATTTACAATTTAAAGTATTTTTTTTTAATTTTTATTATATACATTTTTTTTTAGACTGCTAAACTAAGAAATTTCTTACACTCTTGGTTCAACAGTCATTTCACGATGATTTTCATTGCACACCAGGCATACCCACCCATAAGTGCTGCAATCTTCTCCGAAGCATGTTTCTTAGTCTGTTTACCCTGACAAGTCCCGTTCTGCATTAGCTGACACAAATGTGAGCTCTTACATAGCTTGCACACACGCTGTTCCAACTGGTATATCTATCCTCTGCCAGTCACAGAGAAATGAGTATCATTATTTTTTTAAGGTCTTCAGCACACGTTATCTCCTGTATAGCACGTCTTTATGTTCATTAAAAAAAATTACACTTATTTCAATAACAAAGCAATTCAAATGTGAAGTTTCTCTCATCTGCAAAGCTGATGTAGAATGTAAAATCTACAAATGAATTAATTAAGAGATTATAATTTACTACAGTAATTCTGAACTGATTTTTAAGGATAAACATCACAGCACATTGGACATGCCCACAGATGCTCCATCTTCTGCAGCAAATATCCTAAGGTGAAGACACCAATAAAGTCTTCTTCTTCTTCATGTTCATCAAATGGAAAGTCCAGCAGAAAGTCCTAGTTGTTCATCCACTTCTGGACTTTGGTCTTGTTTCTAGACTATACTTTTGCAGATCTGGCTTGGTTGTGTGCAGACTGTTGGTTCCGACTTCAAAGGAAACATTGAATCCTATCTATGCTGGCCAGGCGCCCCGGGTTGGGAACATTTTTCTAGGATGAGCCATGGAGAAGTATAGGCAGGACTAGACCAGTATGGACCCTGGTCCTGGTGTATCACCACGTTTGGTTCAGCACCTCAGCATCCCATAATAATAAATACAAACAAACAAAAAGCCCTTACCTCGATGGCAATCATGAACTGCTCGTGCTCCTTTTTCAGCTGCTCTGCTTCCACCAAAGAATTAGGACACATGAAGCTATCTGTGAGCATTGACTCTCCATTGCGCACCCACAGAATAACCTGCAAAGAAAGACAATTTTCAAGTGAAAGTCCTTGTAAAGTACATGCCGTGTGGCATTGGTAGTCATGTCTATCCACAACCTTCTGTCTCATGTATTTTCAATAAACTCCGACACAGATGATCCTCCATGCCATGATGTCAAGCTGTCCAGCATCTTTTCTCTCGGTCTTCCTCTGACTCTCCTCCCTTCCAACTTTCCTGCTGTCACAATGTACTCCAGTTTTCTCCTTTTCATTACTTTCACAAGTAAAAGTAAACAACCCATTTCCATACTGTAAGTCTTCCAGTGCGAAACAACCCATGATGCGCTGATTGGGACTACCTTGCATGATATGCTTTTCTGAGCTCGTACTTTATCCAGCCAGAATTGGAATCATTTCTATCCCAATTGTTATTAAAGTTCCTTGTGTCCCATAGCGTTATTATTTCACCCTGGTCATCCACTGCACCTAACTTTATCTCCAGTTTTCTCGACTTGTCCTGCCGCTGGATCTTGACAGACACTGGGAGAGAGTGAGCTCAACGACATTGTGTAACTCTTCCTCACTTTAAACCAATTATCGTACAAGTCATTCTTTCATTCATTTGACAGAGGACAGAAAGAGTGGTCCTCATCACTTGTGATGGACGAACAACAAACAAGTTCTTATTTTAACCCCTTAAGACTAAAACACAACAAATATTCACCATAAGCAACAACTGTTCAGGAAGAGAGGAGTTAAACAAACATGACTGGGACTGAAAGACTTAAAAGACATTTAGGGATGTGCACGTGTGTGCATGTGTAGGTGTGTGTGTGGAGTGTGTAAGTGGTGCACGAGTGGATACATATGTAAGCGTGTGCGCATGCATTTTAACATCCATGATGTTGCGTTTTACCTTGACATTCATATTATGCATATTGTTATTTGAACATAACATGCTGTATTGATAAAATACAACTGCTGTGTGAAAGATGGGTTTTTGGAAGGGCCGAAGCATTGGAGGCCCTCAACCAACTCACTCTAGGGGATCCTCCCATTCTCTGCCATCACGTGCAGCTAATCTATTTTTAACCGCTCTTCAATTCTCTTCTGCATGTGTCTTTTGGTCTGCCTTTATTCCTCTGACCTTGTGGGTTCCAGTGCAAGTATACTGGAGTGAACAACTCAATGCAAAGAGGTTCTCAGCTAATCAACCAATCAGCTCAGACAGTCACATTTACAAGTACAAATCCTATTTTGACAATTTTCAAATTACATCTTCTTACAACAAACTGTTTACATCCCTACAACATTAAACTCACCTGTCTAGCTTCAATCTCAAAGTTGCGCAGGTGTATACACTGTTGCAGTCGGAGTCTCTTCTGCTCAGCCAGGCCTTCCAAATCCACCTGTCTCTCATTCAGGTACTCTAACAAGACTCCGATACGGTTGGTGGCATCATTATCATGTTCACTCATCACCTAAATTCAGTTTTAACAAAAATGTTTTTTAAACAATGAAAACTGTTAACAGTGTTATTCAATGTCTAATAATCTAATTTAACATTTGATGACAAACAGGTACTGAAATGAGAAACAAATGAATTGAGGAAATGAGGACATGCCAGAGAAACCTTGCTGAACATTGCTAAAAGAGGCTAAAGGTGCTGGACTAACTTCATCCATGATATTGAAAGGATTGCACGAAAAAGAACAGAATGGACAACTAGACATTAATGTCTGTCTCAAATGTGTATCTGTCTGTCAAGTTGTGTACATGCTGCCACCCTCACCCCCCTTTCCCCACCCCCCCATCATTAAAAAAAATTATATTAACAATAAAATTCAAAACATACCATACAAAACATTAAGCATTTCCAGGGGCACAGCCTACCTGAGCTAGCTCCTGACCCCTCTGTATAACTTCATAGGTACAATTCTGGACATGCATGACGCTCTCATTGTGAATCTGTAGCAGCTGTTCTGCCTTGGTGCCATCTGTCACCATCTCCATGTGCTGCAACTCTTCAGACAGAAGTTCCAGCTGCGAGGACACCTGCATCAAAAGCAATCAAATAAAGAATGTGTGAAGGCAGTTTACAATTAAATATACATAAAACAGAGACATTTCATCTATGTACATATAACTATTGTACATAATGTGAGAAATACATAATATGTACTCTATTTAACAAACTTTTTGATTTAGTGTGTGACAGAAATTACAATAACCGTGAACACTTTTGTAGCCTGTATATATTGTTGTTAAGATGTCAAGAAATGTCAAGCAAGTGACATCATGGAGCAGCCAAACACTCCTTAACATAAAAAAAATGGATAAGAGAATGCTGCTACTCTCTGGTATATGTTTAAGTGGAACAACCATTTTTTAAACTGGCATTATAACAACATAACGTTCTTTTGCACTGTGATATCATATGCTTACTGACAGGTAATAAGACATTGGCAGAGTTACTGTCATTCATATCACACTTTTAAGGATTTAATTTTAAAAAACCTTGTACAAGGCTCATTTTCTCTCTGCAATGCAGCTCATCATATGTCAGGAGCAGTCCACACAGTACAAACCACACATCTCCAGTGAGCTCCCATGGGGATCTATGTAATACCAAGGGTCGTAATCCAAATGATGGAATCTGAACCTGAATCCATAATCTTCAGAAAGTGAAGTAAACAGTCATCCACACTGCTACAAAGACCCCACCCACCCAAAAGGACCCAAAGAAAAGTACAAAAAAACAGAGCAAAATCATCAATGTGGTGCTTGGGGAGAGAACTAAACCGGTTTAAGTGAATTTAGTTAGTTGCATATGCTTGCAGGTTGTTTCAGAACCAGCAACAGCAATGTCTGGCTGTTTGGTTTTCCTAGGCAATTTAACATTCAGTAGTTTGCCACTGCTTTCTGAATGGCTGGTACTCAATACCACTGTCAAAGTCAATGCACAGTAGTATGCTGCCAAACTGTCTGCAGCTGGAATTGAACTGGGTCCTCTGGAATTATCAGGTGTGTTTTCAATGCTCAAGTCACATAAATGAATTAAACCATTAGAAAAAAGGCACTGGTGTTGAACAGGACACACTGAGATAATCTGATAATAATATAAAGAATAAATCAAAGAAAAAAAAAAGGAAGAACAAAACACACAAGTGACTGAATTGAATAAGAAAGGGGGGAACGGGTGGTGGGTGGGGACAAGGAGTGAGCTGCATATGACTACAAAAGATATGACGACTTGGCTTAGGTAGCTGTTTGCTTGGTGAAGACAGTGAGCAGAAAAAGAATAAAAAAAGTGAGAACAGAATGTTAAGTACATAGTTGCACAGGTTTCCTTTAAGATATAAAAAGTCCTTACTTCCATGGCATCTCTTTCAAAGACTTGCAGCTGTAAACACAGATCCAGCTTCAACTTCCTGGCTGCCCATAAATCTTCCAGCTGGCTCCGGCTGTCATTAAGCTGGCTTAAAACCCCTACAAGCAGTATATAATCAAGTCTTATTTTAGAAACAGTGGACATTTTTACATGAAAACTTCAGGAGAAAAACATCGGGAGAAGAAATTAATTAAAAACATGCATATTAAAGAAAAATAGACTCAGTCAATATTAAGAAGAAGAGATAAGAATCAGAAATGACGATGATATAAAACAATTAGAGGCAGAAACAATGCTGAACCACATCAAGAGATAACAGATCAAAGGGTTCAGATATGTATCTAGAATATTGCAAGATAATGCACCATAGCTTAAACATAACTGACAGAGAGCTAGAGGTCGCCCACACATGTGATGGATAGAAGGAAAATCTGAGGCTGTGAATACCAGCATTTATGAAGCACACATCAAGGCTCACATATGATGCCTCTTCAAGTTTTGCCCTGAAAGGCAGAACATGGACTAGAGAGGAAGACTCAATAGGGTAGTTTCAGAATTCTCAGTCTCTCAGTAACTGTTTATTACTAACAAATGCAGCTATTGAAGTCAAGTGATGGAGTGTGTACAGATTGTTTTTGAATAGATTTTAACAGTTCTTATGGTATTTGTGAGGTATATCTGACATCTGCTAAGGGTCAAGGTTGTAAAATCTGTGTCTGTATGACACCGTATGATTACCAAGTATAGACTCATCTTTCTGACAAAGACTTAGCTAGGCAGGAAGTATAAGGAGAAAAATGGTTTTACAATTAACATGTTACTGGAACAATCAGCAGCTACCCCTTTCACAAATTTGCTGGGGAGATGGAGCACAAACAGGTTTGCTCTGAGTGTTGTGATGCTGATTATTCAAATGAAGAACCAAGACTAATGCTTACCTTCTATATGCTTATAATCTGCACTGTGCCCTGCTTTTTCTGTCTCCATAGAGATCAACCTGAAGAAGAAAATTAACTCTATATTCTCATATGTTTTATGACGTTGTATGGAAGAGGTATCGAGAAAACCTCTCCTCCATGTTTCACCAGCCATATTATAAAAAATAACAACAGGCGTAATCAATGTAAAACATTAGACAGCAAAGTTAAACTACATAAAGAAACAACAAATAAAATGGTTTGGACATGTATCAATACTACCACCAGATAGGGCACCACAGACAGCCCTGACACTTTATAGACATAATAGAAACAGATTAGAGGTCGACCATGCAAGCGATGGATAGACGAAATGTTTAAGACTGTAAATACCAGCATCTACCTAGAACATACCAAGGCTCACTCATGAGGCCTCTTCAAAACCTGATGCTGAAAGACAGAACAGGACTAAAAAAGAAGAATAAATAAAGTGTTACTAGATAATGGACCAGGAGTTTTTGAAAAATGATCTGCTCTTATTACTTTTTCAACCAATGAAATGCCATCAGGAGCTATGGTAGCACAAAGGCGAGATGACTGCCTGTCAACCCATAGGTCTTAAGTTCAAATCTACGTTGAGATGGATTTTTACTTCTGACGTACACCAAAGAGGAGCAGCGTTTTAGTATCCACTTTTTTTTTTAAATCACGGAAAAAGTGAAAACTCTCAAATTCTTTGGCTAATGAAGGTCCAGTACAGTAATGCATGCTTGTCAGTCTAGTTAGTGTAGTCTAGTTAGTGTAGTCTAGTTAGTGCAGTCTAGCTAGTGTAGTCTAGTTAGTGTAGTCTAGTTAGTGCAGTCTAGTTAGTGCATTCTAGTTAGTGCAGTCTAGTTAGTGCAGTCTAGTTAGTGCAGTCTAGTTAGTGCAGTCTAGTTAGTGCAGTCTAGTTAGTGCAGTCTAGTTAGTGCAGTCTAGTTAGTGTAGTCTAGTTAGTGTAGTCTAGTTAGTGTAGTCTAGTTAGTGCAGTCTAGTTAGTGCAGTCTAGTTAGTGCAGTCTAGTTAGTGCAGTCTAGTTAGTGTAGTCTAGTTAGTGTAGTCTAGTTAGTGTAGTCTAGTTAGTGCAGTCTAGTTAGTGCAGTCTAGTTAGTGCAGTCTAGTTAGTGTAGTCTAGTTAGTGCAGTCTAGTTAGTGCAGTCTAGTTAGTGCAGTCTAGTTAGTGCAGTCTAGTTAGTGTAGTCTAGTTAGTGTAGTCTAGTTAGTGCAGTCTAGTTAGTGCAGTCTAGTTAGTGTAGTCTAGTTAGTGCAGTCTAGTTAGTGCAGTCTAGTTAGTGTAGTCTAGTTAGTGTAGTCTAGTTAGTGCAGTCTAGTTAGTGTAGTCTAGTTAGTGTAGTCTAGTTAGTGCAGTCTAGTTAGTGTAGTCTAGTTAGTGTAGTCTAGTTAGTGTAGTCTAGTTAGTGTAGTCTAGTTAGTGTAGTCTAGTTAGTGCAGTCTAGTTAGTGCAGTCTAGTTAGTGTAGTCTAGTTAGTGTAGTCTAGTTAGTGCAGTCTAGTTAGTGCAGTCTAGTTAGTGCAGTCTAGTTAGTGCAGTCTAGTTAGTGTAGTCTAGTTAGTGCAGTCTAGTTAGTGCAGTCTAGTTAGTGCAGTCTAGTTAGTGTAGTCTAGTTAGTGTAGTCTAGTTAGTGTAGTCTAGTTAGTGCAGTCTAGTTAGTGCAGTCTAGTTAGTGTAGTCTAGTTAGTGTTGTCTAGTTAGTGCAGTCTAGTTAGTGTAGTCTAGTTAGTGCAGTCTAGTTAGTGTAGTCTAGTTAGTGTAGTCTAGTTAGTGCAGTCTAGTTAGTGTAGTCTAGTTAGTGTAGTCTAGTTAGTGTAGTCTAGTTAGTGCAGTCTAGTTAGTGTAGTCTAGTTAGTGTAGTCTAGTTAGTGCAGTCTAGTTAGTGGAGTCTAGTTAGTGTAGTCTAGTTAGTGTAGTCTAGTTAGTGCAGTCTAGTTAGTGCAGTCTAGTTAGTGCAGTCTAGTTAGTGCAGTCTAGTTAGTGTAGTCTAGTTAGTGCAGTCTAGTTAGTGCAGTCTAGTTAGTGCAGTCTAGTTAGTGTAGTCTAGTTAGTGTAGTCTAGTTAGTGTAGTCTAGTTAGTGCAGTCTAGTTAGTGCAGTCTAGTTAGTGTAGTCTAGTTAGTGTTGTCTAGTTAGTGCAGTCTAGTTAGTGCAGTCTAGTTAGTGTAGTCTAGTTAGTGTAGTCTAGTTAGTGTAGTCTAGTTAGTGTAGTCTAGTTAGTGTAGTCTAGTTAGTGTAGTCTAGTTAGTGTAGTCTAGTTAGTGTAGTCTAGTTAGTGTAGTCTAGTTAGTGGAGTCTAGTTAGTGTAGTCTAGTTAGTGCAGTCTAGTTAGTGTAGTCTAGTTAGTGTAGTCTAGTTAGTGTAGTCTAGTTAGTGTAGTCTAGTTAGTGTAGTCTAGTTAGTGCAGTCTAGTTAGTGTAGTCTAGTTAGTGTAGTCTAGTTAGTGCAGTCTAGTTAGTACAGTCTAGTTAGTGCAGTCTAGTTAGTGCAGTCTAGTTAGTGCAGTCTAGTTAGTGCAGTCTAGTTAGTGCAGTCTAGTTAGTGTAGTCTAGTTAGTGCAGTCTAGTTAGTGCAGTCTAGTTAGTGTAGTCTAGTTAGTGTAGTCTAGTTAGTGCAGTCTAGTTAGTGCAGTCTAGTTAGTGCAGTCTAGTTAGTGTAGTCTAGTTAGTGTAGTCTAGTTAGTGTAGTCTAGTTAGTGCAGTCTAGTTAGTGTAGTCTAGTTAGTGTAGTCTAGTTAGTGCAGTCTAGTTAGTGTAGTCTAGTTAGTGCAGTCTAGTTAGTGCAGTCTAGTTAGTGTAGTCTAGTTAGTGCAGTCTAGTTAGTGTAGTCTAGTTAGTGCAGTCTAGTTAGTGCAGTCTAGTTAGTGCAGTCTAGTTAGTGCAGTCTAGTTAGTGCAGTCTAGTTAGTGCAGTCTAGTTAGTGCAGTCTAGTTAGTGCAGTCTAGTTAGTGCAGTCTAGTTAGTGCAGTCTAGTTAGTGCAGTCTAGTTAGTGCAGTCTAGTTAGTGCAGTCTAGTTAGTGTAGTCTAGTTAGTGCAGTCTAGTTAGTGTAGTCTAGTTAGTGTAGTCTAGTTAGTGCAGTCTAGTTAGTGTAGGAGTGGAATAAAAATGTTCACAATAGTGTGACCATTTACTACTCAATGTGCCTGACACGATCACGAAACCTCTGACATTTTAGTTGTGCACGGATCTCTAGTCTACTTGTTACAGGAGTACCTCTGCCCCCCTACACCCCCCCTTCCCCCCCCCCCGGCCCCTTAAGAGAAAACAATTATTTAGTGGATTTATTACCCCCAAAAATGTCAGTGGCCTTAACATTTTTAAGTTGTATTTATTTTTTAATAAATTATCTATTTTCAATGAAGATTTCCTTCAAGGCGAATACTTGAAATTTAGCAATTTGTTGCTAAAAGACTGATTTTTGGCTTTCAGATAGTGATATAGGAGTCGCACTGTGGAAGAGATTAAGCTCAGCTGGTCAAGTTTCCAAATACACTAGTTGACACTCATATTCACCGCAGGAAACCTTTTTTCTACATTCATCTTGCAGACTAAGGAATACAGGCTGCTTGCACAAGTGGTCATCATGTAGAGTACAAGTTTTATGTCTGTTAAGTTACTTTCAATAAACATTGTTTTCAAAAACCTTCACTTAGCAAGAAAACTAATCCCACAGTGTATGAAACTTGCATTCTAATGGTACTTTATTTTTAATTCACCCCAAACAAGATTATAGTTATGTTTAATCTGTGTCTCTGAGGTGGTTCGGGTTAACAAAGATTCTAACCACAAAACATAAGACCCCTAAAATATTGGACTTTCCTGAGTACTCTAGGATTTCCTTTGTTTGGGGTGAATTGAAAATAAAGTACTGTAATGTGTTAGGCAACAAAATATCTTCAAACTCTTGGTGATCCATTTATTGCAAGGGATGGAGTTCCTCCTCTCCACAGCTCACAGCCTAAGCAAAATTATAAAGACCATGTGTTACCTATACCAGGAGATCCCCTGCCTGGTCCACCTGGTTTACAACACTGAAAACTGACCTCAGCTGTTCCAACAAAGTCTCTCCTTCTCCAACAGTATTTATGGCTGCTTCAACGGTTGTCTCTCTCTGCTGGTTAAACTGTGCTATCAATTGCTCAGCCCCTTCCACACTGTCGGCCAGCTCTGTGCTCTGAAGCTCTGTGTACAGGTCTTCTAACCAATTCGTCAACTGCAAAACAAATTAACCAAACATTTTGCTAAATTTTTCTTCCTTAAACAGAAACCTTTCTATGTGCTATTTTCTTAATATAAAAATGTCTTTAGAAATGCATCCATGCTGTTAGCCATCTATATTTCACCAAATTAAAAGTAAAAATTCTACAGTAGTCTGCAATGAGTTATGTTGAGTTTAAAAAAATGACATCACAGCCCTTACGATATTCCCATAAACGCACTGTCCCAATCTTCAGCAGCCAGCGTAGAGTTACAATCCTCCTAACAATGCTCCTAGCAGAAGTCTGACTGTATATCATCCTGCCTTATCCCCTCAGTGCTGGCCAGATTCCCTCGTCATTCCCCACTGCACCACTCTCTTCAGATCGTGAGGATTTATTAGTGCTTTCACACTGTTCACTCAATCCTAAAGGGCCATGACAATATCTAGCTCGTCAGTGGTGCAGAACCAACTAGTCTGTCTGCCTCCTCACTTTCCAACACACCTGCATGCCCACGATAAAATATCTGAACGACACTAACTATCCAGGACCTCTGAAGCGATGCTGCTCATCTTACTTAGTGAGCAGTTTGTAGAATTGCATGATTTCATATCAATGAAATAAGATTTCTGAGGAAGATGACAAATTCCTTTTTTTTTATTCTCAGCTCACATGAAAAATAAATGCTATAAAGTAAATAAAAATAAATATTTAAAAAAAAAAGATTTTAGATATCCTGCAAACAACAAGAAGATATAAACTTACATAAATACCTAGCAGGTAAACAAGGATAACAGTGACACAACGGCTACAGACAAATAAAAAATATATTTCAAATATACCTAAAAATATATATATTTCAAATGCTGAAGATGAATTGAAATATATTTGTTAAATCATGTCAGAGATGTACAGGACACTTCAAATGAAAACATAATATAAAATAAAAGTTGTATTTATTAAAGATAAATTGAAAGTTTGAGAACCACTAAAGATATGGACGATGTGGAAGAGCAAAATCAGCATCACAGTTAAGGTCAATATATACAAACCACTGGTAGTGTCTATTTTCTTATTTGGATTTGAGAGTTGGACTCTCACTGTGGAAATGGAAAGGAGGATTCAGGCTTTTGAATGTAAATGTTACATTTACGAATTATTGCATTTTACGAATTAGTTATTCAGAACAAAAATTAACAAATATGTCAGAGACAAAATTTACAAATTTGCAGGATATCAGGAGCCTCTATTGGCAGTGGTGAAACGTCGCAAGCTAGTTTGGTTCGGCACGGGGTGAGACATGATCCAATTGCAAAGACTTCAAGGAACATTGGGGGTTAGTCGAAGAAGGAGAAGGCAAAAAAGAACCTGGAATAACATCAAGAAATGGACAGGACTAAGTTATCATACACTTGTTCATCAAGCAGAAGACAGAGAAAGATGGTGGTTTGTGCTTCCATTGGTACACTTCCACGACCCTAACAGGTCAAGGGCTATGTTATGTTTGTTAATTATAAGACACCCTAAAGATGCCAATATATTTAATAAATTTGACACATCCTGAAAAGAAGCAAACAGAGAACCACCAAGTAGGCATTTAAATTTGAAACAAATGGATTGAAGCAACAAGGATGTCCAAAATGACTCCGAAGATGAACAATGATGAGAGAGCCAAAGGTGCTGGACTGGATTCTATCCATGATATTGAAACAACTGCACAGGATATGATGAAATGGAAGAATCAAGTATGAGCCCTGTGCGATGTATGATGAAATAAACAGGGTGATAGGAGTGATGATGATCTTGACTTAGAAAAGATGCTTCATTGCACTGGGTTATCCATCCCAAAAAGCTCAGGCTCTTTTTGCAAAATGGCTAGCTGCCTGTTGAGAATGTTACAGAAAACGCCAACTTCATTAGGATCTCAGTAAAAACTACACTCGTGAATTGAAAAACACATCCAGAAACAAAACCAGGTCCTTCAGAGCTTGGGGTTAATGGCTTGATTCAGGGCCCATGCCTTACCAATAGATGAAAGACTGAAAGACGCAGAAGAAACATAAACATACATTCCATCTGACTAACATACCTCATGAACATGTGAGTAGAAAATCACTGTTAAATCCAGGACCGCTCTGCGCCGCTGCAGGGCAGTCAGGAACCCATGCATGCGCTGCTCCAGCTCATGAGCTTCACTGTAAATCTCTGTGGCATCACATTCACCAGTCTGAGCCAGTTCATCTGCGGCTGCCAGCAACTTTTCTGCATTTGTTATTGTGTTCTGTAAAAATATAAGAAAAATAAACTGTACAGCTATACACAACCTCTATATTCTTCTTCTTTCTTTTCTTCTCTACTCCGGGAATGCCTTGCGGCATCAGGGCAAGAAGAGATCTCTGGTATGGGTCCTTCTGTTCTCTTTGTATAGAATACTTTTCATTGTCTCTGATATTTCTGCGGTCCATCTTCTGCGTGATCAACCTCTGGGTGTGTTATCGCTGTATCTGTATAGCATTGCTCTCTGTGGTGCCCTGTCTGATGCCTACCTTGTTACATGACCAAACCATTTGATTTGTTGTTTACCTACAAAGATCAGTATTGGTTCTGTGCCAACTCTCCTCTTGATATCACCGTTTTTAAGTCAATCTTTCCTCGTTACACCAAACATAGTACGTACACATTTCATTTCTGTTGTGACTGCTTTCATATAAGGAAACACACAATATGGTAATTTAAAGAACATAACAAAACATTCTGAGGGTGACAGTCTGACTGACTACCAGATAACATCCTCCAGGATGGTGAATGGGAAGTAGCATCTAAATACACAACTGCACTGCAGTTCTAACTGGTGAAAGAATGTACCATAATGACTAACCACAGATGAAAAACATTAATTAACTCTGATACAAATACAAACTCTCCCATATTCTATTTGGTGATACTGCAGCTCAAACTTACAAAAATAAATATTCAAAACATCTGCACAACAAAATCCTTAACACAAACACGCAAACACAGAAAACACATGCTAAATTTGAGAGCACGCTAACAATGGCCCCAACTCACAACTACAGACACTTTTCAGAATCCGAGACATGAGAAGATTGTTCCAGTTTTTTAACTGAATATCCAAAACATCTGCACAACAAACTCATGAGACAAGAAGACATGAGAAACATGTTCAATTTGACAGCAAGCTAACAGCGGCACTGACTCACAATTACAGACACTTCTCAGAATCCAAGGCATGAGAAGACTGTGCCAGGTTTTTTAACTGAATATCCAAAACATCTGCACAAATACGAACATGAAACAGTAAATAAAAGAGAAAACACATGTTTCATGTGAGAACATGTTAACTCTGACTCCAGCTCACACACAAAAAAATTTTTTTTTTAAGAATTCATGACATAAGAATGCAGACTAAATTTTTGAACTGACTATCCAAAACATCAGCACAACACAAAAAAACATGAAACAATTTTTAAAAAAACAAACATGAATTACACATGTTCAGTGTAAGAACACGTTAATACTGGCTTCAAATCCTAAAAACATAACACTCTTTAAGAATTCATGAATTAAGAGTCCCAACTTTGGAAGTGACTTTAAAAACCTCTTCACAACACAAAAACAGCAAACATCAGAGAAAAAAATGAAATCACATGTTTAATGTTAGAACAGGCTAACACTTTCGACAACTCATAAAAACAGGCACTTTTTTTTAAAGAATCCATGATGTAAGAATGGAGTCCCAATTTTTGAAATGAATATCAAAATTTCTTAACATAACATATAGCTAAAAGAATAGGAGAAAATACATGTTCAGTTTGAGAGCAAGCTAACACTGGTCCTGACTTACAAATTCAGAATCAATTTTACAATCCATAACATAGTAATGCAGTTCCAACCAAGTATCTAAAATATCGGCACAACTCAAAAGCATGAAATAATAAATAAGAGAAAACAGTCAGTCTGAGAACAAGCTAACACCGGCTCCAACTTACAAATACACTTTTTTTTTTTTTTTACAATCTATGATATAAGAATGCAGTCTCAATGTTTGAATTAAATATCCAAAATATCGGCATAACACAAAAACTTACAACAATAAAGAAAAAGAAAACTACATCTTCAGTTTCAGAATAAGCTACCACTGATCCCAACTTACAAATACAGACATTAAAAAAAAAACAGTGTTGAAATCCTGGTATAAAAACATAAAACACTAAATTTCTTTTCCTTTCAAATAAAACAGATGTTAGAATTTAGAAAGGCTCTGAACACAACTGCAACCACTTAAGTCAGTGTTCAAGGACAATTCCCCAGAAAAAAGGAAAAAGAAAAAAAAACTTGTCAAGGTGTAAGCATGTGTGTCCCAAGCATTTATATCTGTTACTTTCCTTCTCCCGCCTCCCTGTAAACTCTGCTGCAGTTCTGAGATTTAAAGTGAGGAAACACATGCAGGGCAAACTGCATGCGGATCCTAGCCTGCTTCAAAGCTGGCCCGGGAGGGAGGGTTTGATGTGCCACCAGATATCTTGGCTGAGGGGAGATAAACAGATAAGGACGCAATATCTATGTCAAAGCCACTTTTCCTGGAGTTGTGATCCTCGCAGGGACAGTGCTAATAAGTGGTTTTTACATTTTGTTCCAAGAGAATGCATCTTTCTCATGCCCTGTGTTTTGAACTCACTTATTATTACAAATCTGTTCTTATATAGGCATTTTATCTGCAAGTTAAATGTTGATTTTCAAATACTGCATTTTTCCTCCATTAAATTTAAGTTGCAAACATGACTTTCTGTGGTTTGTTTGAGAAAAAAATAAAAAGAAATGATAGAAGCAAGTAAAACTATCAAACAAACAAAAAGATAACCAAGAAAAAAAAAAAGACTTTATAAATTACTATTATAAAAATAATAACAGCAGAAATGTAAAAAATCCGTTGGCATTAACTCTTTCAATCCCAAGGGGTTAAGCATAGGAAACCCAAGGGGTAGTAAAGAGAGATGTAAAATTAGCGCAATTTTCATTTACTGGGCTTCCAGGTACAAACCTATGAACATATGATGCGTTCCTCGGGCTGAAAGAGTTAAGGGCATATAATGCTAGACCCAAATTTGTATATACTATTTGGCAACTTGTGGTGTGATAGGCAGGCAGATAACTGTCCCCATCAAGGACTGCTGTCCACAGAATTAACAGTTCAAGGATTGCTGTCCAGAGGTTTAACTCCTCCAGGACTGCTGTCAATGGAATTAACACCTCAAGGATTGCTGTCCACAAATTAACATCCCAGGAGTGCTGTTTAGAGGATTAACACCTAAAATATTGCTGCCCACAGAATTAACACCCCCAAGGATTGCCATCCAGAGGATTAACACCTCAAAGATAGCTGAATTAAGACCTCAAGGATTGCTGTACAGATGATTAGGACCTCAAGGATTGCTGTCCAGATGATCAAGACCTCAAGAATTGCTGTCCAGAGGATTAACAATTCAATGATTGCTGTCCACATAATTAACACCTCAAGGATTGCTGTCCAGAGAATTAACACCCCAGGATTGCTGTCCAGAGAATTAACACCCCAGGATTGCTGTCCAGAGAATTAACACCCCAAGGATTGCCATCCAGAGAATTAACACCTCAAAGGTTGCTGTCCAGCTGTCCACAGAATTAACACCCCAGGATCGCTGTCCAGAGAATTAACACCTCAAGGACTGCAGAATAGAGGATTAACACCTCAAGGATTGCTGCCCACAGAACTAACACCCCAAGGATTGCCAACCAGAGGATTAACACCTCAACGATTGCTGTTCAGAGGATTAACACCTCAAGGATTGCTGCCCACAAAATTAAGACCTCAAGGATTGATGTCCAGAGGATTCTTCTTCTTCTTCTTCGCGTTCACCAGCTGTACACTCTGGCGGAAAGTTCTGGTTGTTTGTCCACACCTGGACTGCAGTCCTGCTCCAGAACCTGAGTGTTGCGTGTGCATCAGTTTTACAGATCTGATTCACTTGAATGCAGACTGTTGGTTCCTTGCCTCTCAGGCAGATGCACTCCGACTTCAAAGGAAGCTACCAATTAGTCGACTCTTACGACATGCTTTCTGGTAGGCAGTGGGTCTATTCTTGTTTTCCCCCACAATGAGGCCCCGGAACCCACACGGGTAGTCCAGAGGATTAACACCTTAAGGATTGCTGCCGACAGAACTAACACCCCAAGGATTGCCAACCAGAGGATTAACACCTCAACAATTGCTGTTCAGAGGATTAACACCTCAAGGATTGCTGCCCACAAAATTAAGACCTCAAGGATTGATGTCCAGAGAATTAACACCTAAAGGATTGCTGTCCCCAGAATTAACACCTCATGGATTGCTGTCCAAAAGATTACCACCTCAAGGATTGCTGCCCAGATGATTAGGACCTCAAGGATTGCTGCCCAGAGGATTAACATCACAAGGATGAGAGTCAACAGCAGCAAATCCCAGAAGCCCTGTTCAGTCAGACAGCAGTTGTACTAGGACACGCCTACGGTTACAAAGTAACCTGCAGACCACATGTGGGGATGGGTAAGAGTAACTGGCGATGTGTTCAACAGCACACCAGTGACTTCTACTTTCCATGACATTTCCTGTTTGTTTGTTTTTTTCTTCAAAGGCTGGGCCGACTTGGGAGCCCCTGATCATTTTTAAAATCCTTCCCAATGCAAATTTTAATCACAAAGCCTTTGAATCCGCTGCAAAAATTTAGCCACTGGGCTACCACAGCTCCCTGTGTGGGGTCTAAGGTTCCATTTGCGAAAGGGGGGGGGGGGGGGGGGGTAGCTAGACCTGACAGACCTACTGTTCTTTAACAAGTATGTCATGTCACAAAAGGTGACTAATTAAGGGTTTGCTGAAACAGGGGTGTTTCCTTCAAAGTCAGAATGAATCTCTGCCTGAGAGGCAAGTAACCAACAGTCTGCAATCAGATAAGCCATATCTGTAAAACAGATGTGCAGGCAAAACTCAAGTCATGGAACAAGATGAAAAAAGTCAGAAGTAGAAGAATAACCAGAACTTTCTGCTGGAGATTACAGCCAATGAACACAAAGCAGAAGGAGAAGAAGGAGAAGAAGAAGAAATGCATGGGCTGAAAGACACAGATATCACAGCCTCGCTGTAAACCACAACACAACATGCCCATCACCCTTTTAAGGACAAATGCAGAAGAAGACAAAAAAGCCACCACAGCTCATATGATAATAGTAATGGCTCCTAGTTTTGTT